AAGTAGGATCCTAGAATGCAAGAACTGATTGGCTTGCAGGAAAAGACCAATCAGGCTCCAGGAGGGAAGCAGAATCAGCCAGTCAGACGGGACTCATTGTGTAAATAATGTATATAAAAGCCTGAGGTTTGGGGGGAAATTCAGTCACTGTTTTACAAGCTGCAATAAAGAGCATGAAATCACTACAGGACTCTGAGCATATTTAATTTTCTTTGACCTTACCGCCTTGGGTGACCCTGCTGGGAGTACGAGATTCCCAACGGCTTTGCTCACAAGGGTCATATGAATGTGCAAGCCTACTCACCATGACATGTGAGAGAACTGAGATAGATTGCACTGAGCCCTGGTCTCATTAGACAAAGCGTTCCAACAAAAAGGCTCTGGCTCTGGTTGAGGACAGCTGGATAGGTTTTAGGCCAGGGACCACCAGTAGGTTGCTGTTAGATGAGCGTCACACTCATGGGGGGTGTATTGGAAGATAATTCCCACAGATAAGAAAGGTCACAGCCTGTTTAGGGCTTTAAAGATTAGCACCAAAACATTGAACCTGATTCAATACTCCACCTGGAGCCAATCCAGCTGATGAACAACCAACTGAATGTGGGCTCTCCACAAAGTCCAAGTAAGAACTCATGCATCTGCATTTTAGACCATTTGGAGTTTCTGGAGCAGTCTCAAGGGTAGCCCTGCATATCTCTCTCTCTCTCTCTCTCTCTCTCTCTCTCTCTCACTCTCGATCACATTTATACCCTGCACTCCCCGGCTCAGGTGTACAGCAAGTTAAAGTAGTCTAGTCTGCTGGTGACTACTCCATGGATCACCATGGCTAGGTTGGAAAGGGACAGGTACAGTACCGATTGCCTAAGCTGACATAGATTCAAAAATGCCAGTTTGGCTACATTTGTGACCAATGCCTCCATAGAGACAGAAGCATCCAGGATCACAAAGGGACTCCTGATGGCAGCTACAGGTGACTATTGCGCCCCATGAAGAGCTGGGAGCTGGCAAACCGAACTGAAATCATTCTGGCCCAGCCATTGGGCGCCCATCTTTAATGGATAGAGATTCAGCCGACTCCATTTCCTCCATCCCAGCACACCCACCTAAAAATTGGCCAATATATCCAGGGTAGCATCTGGCCAGGGCCATGAAGCAGAAGATCCATGATGTTTGTGGTCATATCTGTGGTTATGTACAAGATATTTGAATAAAGGGTGAATTTGGGGTTCCCCAATGCAAAAAGTGTGAGGATCCATGAGGATCCGTGCTTCAAAACCATGTTTTGGGGCCATGGAGTGGCCAGGAAGCCATGGATCTCAGTTTTTTGTGGTGCAGGCTGTGCCCCTAGCCATGATGTGTGATTTGACGGTGAGTTTGGGCTGGCCCAATGCAAAAAGTGTGAGGATCCATGAGGATCCGTGGTTCGGAACCACGTTTTTGGGCCACGGAGTGGCCAGGAAGCCATGGATCCATGATTTTTGTGGTGCAGGCTGTGCCCCTGGACATGATGTGTGATTTAACGGTGCATTTGGGTTGGCCCAATGCGAAAAGTGTGAGGATCCATGAGGATCCGTGCTTCAAAACCACGTTTTTGGGCCGTGTAATGACCAGAAAGCTGTGGATCCTAGTTTTTTTGTGGTGCAAGTTGTATCCCTGGACATGATGTGTGATTTGACAGTGAGTTTGGGTTGGCCCAATGCAAAAAGCGTCAGGATCCATGAGGATCCGTGCTTCGAAACCACGTTTTTGGGCCATGGCGTTGCCAGGATAGCCGTGGATCCGAGATTTTTGTGGTGTAGGCTGTGCCCCTGCCTAAGATGTGTGATTTGAGGGTGAGTTTGGGTTGGCCAAATGAAAAAAGCGTGAGGATCCATGAGGATCCGTGCTTCAAAACCACGTTTTTGGGCCATGGAGTGGCCAGGAAGCCGTGGATCCGAGTTTTTTGTGGTGTAAGCTGTGCCCCTGGACATGGTGTGTGATTTGACAGTGAGTTTGGGCTGATCTAGTGCAAAAAGTGTGAGGATCCATGAGGATCCGAGCTTCGGAACCACGTTTTTGGGCCATGGAGTGGCCAGGAAGCCATGGATCCGAGTTTTTTGTGGTGTAAGCTGTGCCCCTGGGAATGATGTGTGATTTGACGGTGAGTTTGGGTTGGCCCAATGCAAAAAGCATGAGGATCCATGAGGATCCGTGCTTTAAAACCACGTTTTTGGGCCATGGAATCGCCAGGAAGCCGTGGATCCGAGTTTTTTGTGGTGTAAGCTGTGTCCCTGGACATGGTGTGTGATTTGACAGTGAGTTTGGGCTGATCTAGTGCAAAAAGCGTGAGGATCCATGAGGATCCGAGCTTCGGAACCACGTTTTTGGGCCATGGAGTGGCCAGGAAGCCATGGATCTGAGTTTTTTTTGGTGCAGGCTGTGCCCCTGGACATGATGTGTGATTTGACAGTGAGTTTGGGTTGGCCCAATGCAAAAAGCGTGAGGATCCATGAGGATCCGTGCTTCAAAACCACGTTTTTGGGCCATGGCGTTGCCAGGAAGCAGTCGATCCGAGTTTTTTGTGGTGCAGGCAGTGCCCCTGGACATGATGTGTGATTTGATGGTGAGTTTGGGTTGGCCCAATGCAAAAAGCGTGAGGATCCATGAGGATCCGTGCTTCAAAACCACGTTTTTGGGCCACGGAATGGCCAGGCAGGCGTGGATCTGAGTTTTTTTGTGGTGCAGGCTGTGCCCCTGGCTATGATATGTGATTTGACGGTGAGTTTGGGCTGGCCCAATGCAAAAAGCGTGAGGATCCATGAGGATCCGTGCTTTCAAAACGTTTTGGGCCACGGTTTCGCCAGGAAGCCGTGGATCCGTGATTTTTGTGTTGCATGCTGTGCCCATGGCCATGATGTGTCATTTGACGGTGACTTTGGGCTGATCTAGTGCAAAAACCATGAGGATCCATGAGGATCCGTGCTTCGAAACCACGTTTTTGGGCCACGGTATGGCCAGGCAGGCGTGGATCCGTGATTTTTGTGGTGCCTGCTGTGCCCATGGCCATGATGTTTGATCTGATGGTGACTTTGGGCTGATCTAGTGCAAAAATCATGAGGATCCATGAGGATCCATGCTTCAGAACCACGTTTTTGGGCCACGGTATGGCCAGGCAGGCGTGGATCCGAGTTTTTTTTGGTGTAGGCTGTGCCCATGGCGATGATGTTTGATCTGATGGTGACTTTGGGCTGATCTAGTGCAAAAATCATGAGGATCCATGAGGATCCATGCTTCAGAACCACGTTTTTGGGCCACGGTATGGCCAGGCAGGCGTGGATCCGAGTTTTTTTTGGTGTAGGCTGTGCCCCTGGCTATGATGTGTGATTTGACAGTGATTTAGGGGTGGCCCAATGCAAAAAGCATGAGGATCCATGAGGATCCGTGCTTCAAAACCACGTTTTTGGGCCACGGTTTCCCCACGAAGCCGTGGATCCGTGATTTTTGTGGTGGATTCTGTGCCCATGGCGATGATGTTTGATCTGATGGTGACTTTGGGCTGATCTAGTGCAAAAATCATGAGGATCCATGAGGATCCGTGTTTTTAACCATGTTTTTGCGCCCCTGCGGCCCCCGAAACAGTGGATGCGTGATTTTTTTGATGCTGCCTACAGAGTAAGACATGGTCTACAGTATCATGGTGGTTTTATTTAATTTGAATGAAAAAATCATATGAATTCATGAGGATCCGTGTAGATCCGCCTTTTACCTTTTTCCGAAGAACAACAACAGGTTCAGTTCAGGGAAGTTGATGTTGAAGAATCCTTGCTTCCCCACGGGGGATCTTTGCTTCTCCCAGGACACGGGGGCAAAGGGGCAGGAGGGAAGGGGAAACACTCCCCCCCCCCACTGAAAAGGAGCAGCTCAGGCTTCTTGGATTGGGAAGGAGAGAGCATTTAATTATATCCCACCTTTCAGGATTCAAATACTACCCCAGCAGCATTCAACTGAATTTTAATAGAACTACAATACTGACACATTCCTGCAGGACAGCTGATGGCAGGCAGCCCTAGGGGACTTTTGGGGGGGGGGGGGGGTGGGCAGCTGAATGTGGCCCTGAGCGCTTCTTCACCTGCCTCTGAAAATCATCCTCATCATTATTAGTCCATTTATCTCCCATCATTTTCAAGAGATCTCATAAGCAATTCTTAACTCTAGAAATGACTCCACATAACGCATCAATATACCTTTCTTCTGCTCCTAAGACAGGCATGGGCGTAGCCAGGATTTTTGTTGGGGGGGCAGGACTTTTGTTAGGAGGGGGAACCTCAGTTTGCTATGTATTTTTATTGGTGTTTATTGATTTTTTTGTGGGGGGGGGGACTGCGCCTCCCTGCCTACGCCCATGACGCCGGCAGCAAAACCGGGGCAAAGGGAAACCTAAACTACCCCCCCTCGCGGCAGGACCCCTCTCCCCGTCCCCTCTCCCAGCCCCCCCCCCCGCCTTGGGGTCCCCTGGGTGCTGAAATGGGCTCCTGTGTAGACAGGCGTCGCTTCCTGGGCTCTGGCAGGGAAAGCGAAAGTGAAACCGGGTGTCCCGCAGCGGGAGGGGGGTCTCGTGGGAGAGAGGGGGCAGTGAAGCGTCTCTCCCCCTCCTCGGCATCTCCCCCTTTTCCTGGTCTCTCTCCCACCCCCAACATTTTCTCTTCCAGCCGGAGGGCAATAAAAGGGGGAGGGGGAGATAAGCATGGGCGTAGATAAGTATGGGCTCTCTTCCTCACCCCCCCCCATGAGATCACGTGACACGAGACAGACCATCTTTCTCCTGCCCGGCAGCTGCAACTATCCGCTCTCGTGGGAGCTGCGCCCTTAAGGGAACCGGGAACCGCAAGTCTCTTTCCCCCCAATTTCATTCTCCCCCCGCAGAGCATTTCCTGTACCAGGGGAAGGGCGAGTGCCACTTCTCCAACGGGACGCAGCGGATCCGCTACCTAGATAGGTATTTCTTCGACCGGCAGGAGCTCATGTACTTCGACAGCGAGCGAGGGAAGTTCGTGGCTGTGGCTGAACTGGGGGAGCCCGCAGTCAAGAGAGCGAACCAGGACAAGGACTTCCTGCGGAGCGAGATGGCCAACGTGGATGTCTTCTGCCGGCGCAACTACGGGATCTTAGAGCCCTTCTCCCAGGCCCGGCGCGGTGAGTCCAGAATGGGGGGGGGGGCGTCTTGGGAAACGGGCCCCCGGAAGAACCCAAAGTGGGGGGGGAGTGGGGTGGACACGTGACTTCCCCCCCCCGGCCCCCCCCGCCCTCCCGCTTTTCAGAGAGATAAAGGGCCTTTCCTGGCGCCCCACTCCAGAGGCAGAGTTTCTGTGTCCCTGGAAGCATCACAAACCGTTTCCTATATTGCAATGTGGCTCTTAGTTTAGTTATTTGTTATTAATTAGATTCGCATCCCGCCCTATACTTGTAGGCCTCAAGGTGGCTTGCAACACAATATTTCAGTATTCATAATAATAATAATAATAATAAAAAATAACAACAAATAACAATAACAACAACAATAATAGAATGATATTATTATTATTATTATTATTATTATTATTAATACCCAGCTAAATGGATGGGGTATTAATAATAATAATAAAATAATAACAACAAACAACAATAACAACAACAATAATAGAAGTAATGATATTATTTATTATTATTATTATTATTAATACCCCATCCATTTAGCTGGGTTTCCCCAGCCACTCTGGGCGGCTCCCAACAGAATTAAAAGCCCAATAGAACATTAAAAACTTCATTTACTACATGTGATGTCTATGGTCCTCCCTCTCCTCTCTCCACCCCCACAACGACCCTGTGAGGGAGGCCAGGCTTGGGGGGGGGGCTGGCCAGGGACACCCAGGAGACTCAAGGCCCAGGGGGGATTTGAACCCGGGACAGAGTCCAACCCTGGACTACATTAGAGTGGGGGGCTGCAAAGGGGACACAGCAGCCTTTCAGGGGAGCAGAGAAAGCACATTTCAAGCAGAAACCCTGAACATTTTTCAAGTACAATATGATGTTATTTGGGAGTTAGTTATTAATTATGACACCTTAGCATGTCGTTTCCTGCACACCTGACATGGATTCAGGTTGGGCTGTCATACGTCCAGGTTTTCCAGGGAATCGGAATGTTTAAATTGAGGGGTGTCAGAAATTTAACCCCACAATCTCAAAATCACATACGTTAAGGATTAAATAATAATTATTATAAATATGGTCCATTTCCTTCAAACCCACTCATTACTATTTTCAGCTACCAAGCTCCCCTCCAGCCCCCCCCCCCCCCCGTTCTCGAGGGATCATCCCTAAATCAAAAGGATACTGTGCAGTGATTTCTGAAGATCATCCTGTGTGCTAGGAAAAAAGGAAGGACAAACTCCTGAGATTCCCAGGACTGGGAAATGAGACAGAAGGATGGAAAGTGTCCTAGGAAGGGAGGGGCATCCCAGGACCCCCAGGGAGGAGCAGTTCCCTGTTTGTGGAAAGCCCAGTCTGACCCCTGGGAAACTGGGCTGACTTTGGGTAGATGGGGGGACAGAGATCCCACTGGTGGGAGTGGGAAGTTGGGGGCTGGGAGCGTAGGATCAACTGACTGTCCCAGGGCCAAATCTAGGCTTTCTGTCACCCGGGCGAAGACCCTGTTTTGTCACACACACCCCACATGCATCTGCATATACACACCCACACACCCACCTGGACACATTTGTTCATAAAGGAAATAAAAAGAGCTTTGAAAGAGGCTGGAAAAGAGAGAGTCTCTCCAAATAGTAACATTGTCTGTGTGCTATCTGGCTTTCATTCAACCTTAAGAAGATCTCCTCAGAGAGCAGTAGATCATTTGAGGAATTCTAAGAAATATCATGACTGTTTGTAATAAAAATAAAATAATGGAAACTGTTATAATGATCAGGCACATACCAGAGTAAGTCCTATTGAACTCAGTGGGGCTTACTTTTGAGTCAGAATGCTGAAGATTGCAGTATAAGACCGCAGAATCTTGGGAGCAAGCTGCATTGAACTCAGTGGGACTTCTGAGTAGTAAAGGCAGTTTAAGGCTCTAAAGAAGAAAATAAAAGAATAAATACTCCACAAGTTTCCTTCAAAAATTGTGGCTGCTGAACCATTGCAATTAAGGAATTTAAAGTGGATTGGCTACATTTTCCTCCCAAATTACAGGAAGGGATAAACACAAAGAGCTTCGTATGTCAGCACCACATTTCATTCATTGCAGGTATTTTATGTTCAGCGTAAAGAGGACTCAGTTTTTGTAGCTGATTGTAGGCAGCAGTGCCCTCTTTACGTATTCACGTGGTATAAACGTGTATGTTGTCTTCTAGAGATACACACACACACACACACACACACACACACACACACACAATGAATGAATGATCACACAAGCAAGCAATACTCCAAAGGGCTTCTGTTCCCAAAAGGGCAGGAGAGGATGTTCTGATCTCTTCACCACTTCTAATTCATCTCTGAGGCTTAAAGGGAAGCAAAAGAAGAAAGAAAGAAAAATAAGATTTTCCCATTTCAACTTTGCGTGGAGAGAAACCTTCTCCAGGATTTCTCTTTTGTACTCAGTTCCAAAAACAGAGAGGGGGAAAGGGGAAGGAGGGTCGTTTTCCAGGTTTTCCAGCTTCCCCTTGCAGATTAGCATCACTCTGGTGCTCAGCAGATGCTTTTAGACTCTGGAGGCACCAGGGGGGGCTGCGGACAGAGAAAGGGCCCCCCCTGCAAGCTGGGAGACTCAGTTGCGCCCCTCTAGAGGCTTCACCCTGGCTGGCCCCCCTCCCCCGTTAACTATGGCCTCTTCCCCCTCCCTTGAAGCCTCCAGGTCCCTCCCTGCCTAAATCTCTGACCTTCCTTCCACATCTCCCTTGCCTCCCTCCCACAGTCCAGCCCAAGGTGAAGATCACCCCACAGACAACGTTGAATCTTCACCACACAACACTCTGCTGATTTGCACCGTGAACCGCTTCTTCCCTGCGGGGATCGAGATCAAGTGGTTCAGGAACGGGAAGGAGGAGCCCAAAGTGTGGACCACGGACCTCATCCGGAACGGGGACTGGACCTTCCATATTGAGGTGATGCTGGAGACAAAGCCAGAACGTGGAGACGTCTACACCTGCCAGGTGGAGCACGCCAGCTTCGAAGGCCCCGTCACGGTGAAATGGGGTAGGACACTTTCCCAGCCCCGAGCCATATCCTGCCCAAGGAAGTGGGGGGCATTCCTGGGGGGCTAGGTGGGTTCTCCCCCCTCAGGGGGGTGATCCCAGGCCTGCCTTTCCTCACTTGCGGCTTTTTCTTTCTTCAGAGCCACAGTCGGACTCTGCCAGGAGCAAGATGTGGACGGGGATTGTGGGGATTGTGCTGGGGCTGGTCTTTGGGGCCACTGGACTCGCCCTTTACCTGAAGAACAAGAAAGGTGAGGGTGGGGTGTCAGGGGAGAGGGAGGGTTGGGTGTGGGGCTGGACCGGGCTCCAGGCTCCCCTCCTCTTCTTAGGCAGAGGCTCTGGAGAGGGTTTTGCCTTCTCCACTCCTAGGAGGTCCCTCTTGGTGTCTCAGAATTTAGTCCAAACTGGTCTCGGGCCAGAATCACCTGCAGGATCTCTGACTGTCTCTTATCTGAGACTCTTTCTATCTTTTTTACACTGTGGAGAAACACAGCTCTTCTTCTGGATTTAGAAGCCTTTGTACTTTCAGGGCTCTTCTTCTAAGGTCCTCCTGCCTTCCCTGAAGTGCCAGTGTGGTGTAGTGGTTAAGAACGGTGGACTCGTAATCTGGGGAACCGGGTTCGCTTCCCAGCTCCTCCACATGCAGCTGCTGGGTGACCTTGGGCCAGTCACACTTCTCTCACGTCTCTTGGCCCCACTCACCTCACAGAGTGTTTGTTGTGGGGAGGAAGGGAAAAGAGATTGTTAGCCGCTTTGAGACTCCTTAAGGTAGTGATAAAGCGGGAATCAAATCCAATTCTTCTTCTTCTCCTGATCAAAACTGCTCAAAGAAGTAAGAGCAAGGCTCTCTCACCACACAGAGCAAAGGGCCTTTAAGACACCCACAGCCAGGATCCCATCATCTCACTTGGACCTCTTTCTCATTTGCATGAATTACTTTGCATGCATTAATTAATAACTGGGCAAGGCTAAGAAATCCAGCCTAAGGAATGAGGAGCGGTTTGTGGGGGGCATTGGGGGATGGGGAGAAGAGTAGGTTGCAAAACATCCTTTATGTGTTGGGAAAGAAATGTTTCCATTTAACGAATAATTATCTTTAACCCCTCATATTCTGTTCTGCAGAGGGAGTGGGGAAACAGGTCTTAGTTGTGCCTTGATTGCATTATCTTGATCTTGGGAGCTCTGGGGTTCTCAGGGGATCGATTCCAGTTGATATTTGATGCTGACCAAGTATTGCTGTTATCTTTTTCCCCTCCCAGGGAGAGCTGTTCCCCAGCCTGCAGGTAACGTTCATCCCTCCTCCTCCACCCTCCACCTCCTCCTTCCCCCACCCCTTCTCCTGGCTGCTTAGGGTGGCCCCCTTGCTTGCTTTTCATACAGCTGGGGCTGGGGGATGGTTCTGGTTTAAACCCCCCCCCATAAGCACACGCTCTAATTTCATCTCCTGGAAGTGGATCTGCAGGGGAATTCCCCACCTGGGAGGCTATCAGGCAAAGCTCACTTTCAGGGGCCAAGTGAGGAGACCAGGGCTTTCTTCCCCTGCCCACTTTCCAAGACACGTAGCCCAAGGGTGGGGAACCCTTTTAACCCCAAAGTGGGTGGAGCAACGCATGCAAATATCCCCTTTCCAGAATAGACTACTTTCTACCCCTCTCCATTCTTCAGTGGTGTAGTGGTTCAGAGCGGAGGACTCGTAATCTGGTGAACCAGGTTCGATTCCTCGCTCCTCCACATGCAGCTGCTAGGTGACCTTGGACTAGTCACACTTCTCTGAAGTCTCTCAGCCCCACTCACCTCACAGAGTGTTTGTTGTGGGGGAGGAAGGGAAAGGAGATTGTTAGCCGCTTTGAGACTCCTTAAGGTAGTGATAAAGCAGGATATCAAATCCAAACTCTTCTTCTTCTTCTCCTTCTCCTTCTTTTTCATCCGGGCAAGCAAAAAGCATCCTCAGAGTTCAAGGAGCATCCCAGGTGGAAACACTTGAGGAAGGCGCAAAGCAGGGTCAGGAGGAGTCTTAGGGGCCAAAGAGAGAGAGTCCTGGGGGCCACCTCCTGGGCCAGAGTCCTGGGATTCCCCACCTCTCTTTGGAACCTCCTCTTTCCCACTGCCTAAGCCAGCCAAGACTCCCTCCTCAGAGCCTCCCCTGCCAGACCCATAACCTCCAGGCCCTGCGGACTCCAACTCCCACCACCCCCAGCCAGCATGGCCAATGGTTAGAGGGCACAATGGGAACTGTAGTTCAGAAGGCCTGCTGGTCACTCTATTTGAGTGTCCCCCAAATCCTGCCAGGGATTCATCCCCCCCCCTTCTCTCCCCACAGTGATGGGCTTGTCTCTCTTTTCTCTCTGCCTGCAGGTCTCATTGATTAAACTTTGCTGCTCCCTCGGGATACCAGGATGTGGAGAATTCCTTCCTGCAAGTTCCCCTCTGTCCTTGCTCAGAGGATGGGAGCTTTTCGTTGGTTGCTTTTTATTACTTCTTTTTCTGGGTGTCGCTTGAGGTTTCCATTGCTCTTTCATTTGGCAGATTGGCAGTTATCCTAGCCTGACGTAGCTTTATTTGCACATCTATGTTGGAGACTCTGTGCTCTGAATCTCCCCAGAGAAGCCTGAGCTGAGCCTTAAAGCAACGATGGATCCAGTCAGACTGTCAGGACTGAATGTTAGTTCTTAAAGCCCTGATGGAGAGCCTCATAAAATTTGACTCACTTTTTTGGGGGTATATTTTTCAATTACCGTATTTTTTGCTCTATAAGACTCACTTTTTTCCTCCTAAAAAGTAAGGGGAAATGTGTTTGCGTCTTATGGAGCGAATGCAGGCTGCACAGCTATCCCAGAAGCCAGAACAGCAAGAGGGATTGCTGCTTTCAGTGCACAGTGATCCCTCTTGCTGTTCTGGCTTCTGAGATTCAGAATATTTTTTTTCTTGTTTTCCTCCTCCAAAAACTAGGTGCGCCTTGTGGTCTGGTGCGTCTTATAGAGCGAAAAATACGGTAAATTTTCTTTTTTACATTTTAGAATATTCCTGTAAACAATCTTAAAATATAAATGATTTCCCTTCTCTTTCCATGGTTCATTTTACATACCATAAATCCCTGCAAGTGTACACAATTTCCCCCCCATACATTCAATAAACATTTTCCAACCTTCTCTGTCAGATGGCAAAGGTGGTTGCTCACGAGTAACCAGGCAGGACTCCGACCTGTCTTTTACAGGTTTTATTAGGTGCAAAAACTATTTACAGTGCAGAACCCCAAAGTTCATGTCTGCCTCAGTCGCTAGCAGAATCCGGGAGTGCCTGTTTCCTGGACCTCCCCCAGCATAAAAGCCTCGTTACGCCCAGCCTTTTCCTTCCCTCTTTGCGCTTTAGACTTCTGCACAGGGTGGGCGACGGAGGGGGCGTGCTTCCCTCCTGGCTGGCTTTGCCAGGAGCGGTGCTGAGACTCTCACCAGTATCCTCTGGTCCTTTCCCCTCTTCCCCACTGGAGGTGGGGTTTTCCTCATCACCGGAAGAGGAACTGCTTAGTAAGATTTTTGGAGGCTCCCTGTAACACAACTGCCCCTCTGTTTCCCGCCCCTGTTCTGATGGCAGTTCCCTGACATTCTCTAAACGTATGTTCTTCTTGTTCTCTTATTCTATATGTTAAATCTGAAAGCTGAGCATATTCTGTCAGCTTAAGTTGCCATTCATCTTTGGCTGGGACCTCACTCATTTTCCATTTTTGGGCTAACAAAACACAGGCTGCAATAGTGGCAGACATAAATAACCTTTTTTGACACCTGGGAATTTCCGTCTGAATTATCCCCAACAAAAAGGGCTCTGGTTTCAGGTTTTTTGAAAAGCACTTTTAAACATTTTTTTCAATTCATTATAAATTATTTCCCAGTACTCTTTTACCTTTTTACAAGTCCACCATATATGATAGAACATACCCTCAACCTCAGTTTCAAAAAGGACCTTCCTTCTGGACAAGAGTCCAAGTCTCCCCGCCCCCTTGTAGCCAGTGAGACCCATCCTCTTCCTCCTGATCCAAATAGGAATTAGCCAACTGTATTGATACACTCCACCCCAATCTCCGAGTGGGGCAAGTTTGCAGGGGTCCAGGCACCTACCCAGAGTTTGTGCTTCCTTTGGAAATGAGGCCCAGCGGAGACTGTGGTGTCTTTAGGACACATGGTTTCCTTACACATCTACAGCCTGAGCCTACAATGGAGGGGCTCACAGTAATCACACCCCAATAGGTTCTTCCTTCTCCCCTGACCACAGCTGCCTTGGATTCTAGCAAGGCCCCAGCCATGGCTCTGATCCTCTCCCTCTAGCTTGCCACTTACAGACCGAACCCTTTTCCGCCACAGCAAACTGAAATCCCAAAAGCTCAAAACTCTGTTGTCTCTGCCCCCTAACTCAGAGCTCAGGGTGGGGGTCCACCCATTTGCATCTGGCCCCACTTCCTTCGTGGCTTATCACCTTCCTTTGTGAGGCTCAGGGCTCATAATTAGCAGCCAGGAACTATAACAATATAAAAGCATATCCCCCCCCCCCATTCTTTCTCCAGCTTGCCCCTCAACAGGCAGTATGAGTCTAATTTCAAGCGACAGCCCCCTCCTTCCCCTGCCCTGATGCCTTTATCTCCTCATAGTGGGTGATTTGTTAGTTGCTCTGTAAAGACCCATCTATTTTGTCATAATCATGATTTCACAGCCTTGGGATGATCTCCCCTGAGTTGCACTGTGGCAAGGCTGCCTAAAGAAAGTATATAAGTGTATCATTGTGCCTTAGATTATAGTGCCTAATTATAAGAAGCCAAATACCAAATGTCTTTCATTGTGCCTTATTATTGCTGTGCTAGCAAAAACATATATGCATTTACCTGAATTTGCAGTTTGCAGGGAAGACATCCTTCATAGTCACAAGATGGTAATAGTCACCAGATGTCCTGTGAAACAGGATATCCAAGTTGGGTGCTTTCCACATAGGATGTCTGATAACAAGGCGGGGGTTGCTTGCCTGCCCAAAAGGGATTTTTGCTTGCTTGCTGATAACACAGTATATGAGGAAATGTCTAATGTAATGAGCTATTGCATAAATAAAGAACTGATCTTTATAAGGACATAAGGAAGGGCTATGTCTAAGCTTATTGGCTTAATTGTGCTCCAGTACATGAATATGTAATGCCTAAAGCTAGCTGGGAAAAGAGGTAGATTAACCCATGGAACTGTTGATCGGGGTCCCGTCTTTGAGAGGAGACTCCACTGGGCCTATTGCTGTCAGCAATAAACTTACTTTCTATTTCTCCAACTGCTGCATCTGTGATCTTTGAGCTCACCCAGAACAAGGTTCCCAGGTTACCACGCAACATTCTGGTGCCGTGACTCGGATAGCAGGCCAGAGGGGCCTCAGGGACCAAGGCTTTTGCCTACCAGGTGGGGTGGAATGTCGCTGGACCGCCGGCTTTCCCCCAGGTGCCATTGGACACTTTCTTCAAGGTGGGAGACTGCACTCCACTGCACTGTGCCTTGCCTGCCAGCAGGATAAGTTGGAAGAAGGGGTTTTTAAGGTTATAGGGAACCCTCCATAAGGGAGAAGAGAGTTTGATCAGCCTCTGCCACCCACCAGTACATCCAAGGAAAGGGAATAGTCCTTGTGGAGGAACCTGGGTGAGCTTAGGAAAGGGTGTGGGAATTAGCTGTGTGGTGAAGTGCAGAGTGAATGAATGTGAGTGATTGAAGACCCCAAAGGAATTGAAGGTACCAGGGCGCCGGGGCATTGAGTGTGGACCTCTTACGTACCGCAGTTCCAAGTCGGGTGACCGCACTTGGTCGGGAACAGAGGGAAGCATTGTCAGCATCGCCCTTGAGCCAGTGCCACCGACTGGACTCATCCACTTCAGCCCAACTGGGCCAGGCGAGCTGGGGTAGCACTTCCAGAGACCACCTTCTGCACAGTAACAGGTTAAAGTGCTGTGGACCCACAACTCAGAGTTGTGAGCACCAAATTCACTCCGAAGACAGTCATTGCACAGCAGAGTACAGCAGAGCATAAACTACTCGGAGAACAGCTCTGTAGAATAACTACTTTTATTCTATCTACAACTATCATACAAACTATATACAGAGCTAAATGGAGAAGCTGCACTGAGTGTCTGCAGCTGCTCTTAGCAGCAACCTTATCTATACAGAGATAACACACTTTCTCTCTAACACTCAGTCTCTCTTTGATGTGAGGCTGGAGCAGAATAAGTAGTGAGCAGAAACCGCCCCCCCTCCTCTCTGGAGAATCAGCAGAGAACATCAGCAGATTCTTGGAATGGGAGGGTGAAATCTCCTCAAGCATATCTTTGAGAGTTTGGTGAAGGCACTTCACAAGGGACATAATAATGGGAGGGGGCTGTTCAACAGCAAACACACAATTAGGATGCATGATTGAAAATTTCAAGAAAGCCTTTTCCAGGGAATATGGTGTCAAACTGACCTCAGAGACCCTGAGGACACACTGTGAACTAAACTGGCCAAACCAGGTTCTTAAATGGCCATCAGAAGGCAGTTTTGATGTAGAATTGTGCAGGCAGGTGTGGGCCTCAGTGACTAGAGACCCGGGAGGCCACCCAGACCAATTCCCGTACATCGACCAGTGGTACGATGCCTGCATAAAGAATCCTCCATGGATGAAGAAATGCAAGGGAGCAGCCTGCCAGATAAAGGCAGTGAAACAGGAGGCCCGGAGAAATGTAGATAAGCCTAAACCTCCAGTGCCTAAAAAGGTAAAGGTAAAGGTACCCCTGCCCGTACGGGCCAGTCTTGACAGACTCTAGGGTTGTGCGCTCATCTCACTCTAGAGGCCGGGAGCCAGCGCTGTCCGCAGACACTGGTCACGTGGCCAGCGTGACAAAGCTGCTCTGTCGAGCCAGCGCAGCGCACACGGAAACGCCGTTTACCTTCCCGCTCGTAAGCGGTCCCTATTTATCTACTTGCACCCGGGGGTGCTTTCGAACTGCTAGGTTGGCAGGTGCTGGGACCGAGCAGCGGGAGCGCACCCCGCCGCTGGATCTATACAGATTGTAAAAACACTACAAAAAACATTACATAGCTCTCAATGCAATTTTACATTGACAATTTTACATTGCTCTACAGCACTCTCTGGTGTCACATGCTTATAACACATTTATGACGTTTTATACTGTCCAGTATAGATTAGTCCTAAATCTCAGACTTACAACATGGGCCTATATACAGTGATACCTTGGGTTAAGAACTTAATTCGTTCTGGAGGTCCGTTCTTAACCTGAAACTGTTCTTAACCTGAGGTACCACTTTAGCTAATGGGGCCTCCTGCTGCCGCCACATGATTTCTGTTCCCATCCTGAAGCAAAGTTCTTAACCTGAGGTACTATTTCTGGGATAGTGGAGTCTGTAACCTGAAGTGTCTGTAACCCGAGGTACCACTGTACTTTGTTATGGCTGAGGCACGTGAGCAGGTGCTCAAGCAACAGGCAAGAGAGAAGGAGCCAAGAGCAAGAGAGAGCAGGGGGAAGTGGCTCCCACAGGTCTGACAGGAAGTCGTCCCTGTTTGGAGCCACATTCCTCTGTGTGCCCATTCTGGCAAACAGGAAATATGGACTTTTTTGGGGGGGGGGGTGAGACCTAACCTATTTCAGTGACTGTCATTTGTTTTAACTCTTTTTAATATGGAATTTTAAATGGCTGTAACCCTCCCTGGGTAATAAACGTAGTAGTAGTTATAAGAATGGCAACCAGAACAACAACAACAACAGAAAACCTCAAGGCACACATCGATCTCAAGAAACCCGAAGGATCCTGTTCGAATTTGCAGAGCTCCACCCCCATTTGTGGTCTCTGCATAACGAAGCACACGCACATTACAGCACCATGATTAAAAAGTAAACATACAAACACGTACACAGCCCATCAGCCTTTGGCTCAAGCTGGTTCATCTAAATTTGAAATTTAAACATAAATTATTCTCCTCACTTTGAATCTCACCTCCCCAAGTTCATTAATAAACCAACACTATATATTGTTTCAATGGTAACAGAAGAGGAAGAAATGACTCCTACTCACACTTAATCTAACCTCAACCACAAGGGCTCCTGACTATGCAATGCGGACTGTTAATCTGGTAACTCTGTTCTAACCTGTTTCCTCTTTTTGTATTTTAACCGGTTCTTGAGCCAAGAACACATGCAGTGAGCAAATTTATTCTGTTATTTTTGTGATCTACAAATCGGTCAATTTAGTTGATCCTATGGTCCTTGTTTATAACAGAGAGGAAGGGGGGAATGCTCCCTGCCTTGGGGGTCTCCCTCCTCCCTTGAGTATCCTCCCCCTGCAGCCCTGGGACCCCCCTTCTCCCCCGGGCGCCCCAAGGGGAAAGAGAGAGAAGACTCACTGGATCCCAGGAGGGGCCACCGAGGCAGCCTTGGAAGAGGACGAAGGAGGAGGGGCTTCCGCTCTGGAGGACCGGGGACCCCCGCCCCCACTTCCTGGCCTCTCTAGGATTCCAGCTCGGCTCCTGTTAACCCTTGGCGAGCCGAGCGCACAGAGGGCAGAGGAGAATCCGAGGAGCTGCGCATGCTCCCTGCGGGCGACCCAGGGCCTTCTCTCGAGGACGCCTCAGAGCGCGAAGCGCGGAAAGGGGGAGGCGGAGGGAGGGCGGGGCAAGGACCCGTGACGAAACAGCCCTGGCCCCGCCCCTCCGCCGGGAAGGCGGCGCCTGCTCTGAGGGAAACGGCTTTTCCCGCCTTTTCCCAACTTCCCGCCTTTCGAAACCTGACCTTCCCCTCAGTTTTAGGCGCCAAGGAGGCCGATTCCTGGCAGACCAGGCGGCAGTTTCCCTGGGCTCCCTCGTTTATCGGGGGTTTTATTTTCATTCTGCGTGATTTCTGTTCATATCTCTTGCTTTTGGAGCTTCTATCTGCTCCTTTAGAAAGGCCGGCCCCTCCCCCCCCCGCTTCCTCCTTCCCCAAAGACGAAGCAGCGCCTGGATGCAAAGGAAGAGCAGAGCTGCAGACCTCCTGGAAACTCGCCCCCTCCCTGGCTTGGCAGAGAGAAATGGGGGGCAGGACTCCTGACTTGGGGGTCTCCCCCCTGCATGCATGAGCTGAACAGTCCCCACCTCCCATGCATCCTTCCCTTGCAGCCTTGGGACCCTCTTTCTGCCCAGTCCACACAGAGATGGAGCTACAGTGAGGGGGGAAAGTTCAGCTCGTTACATACAGTGAAGATACCAGGTAGCCTGACATCTGGCTGGTTGATAGGGGATCAAATACTTGTTTCACTCATTATAATGCACATCAATCTCTGACTGTTGTCTCCTGGGTTTCAGGGGGTTTTCATGTTGTTATTCTGTCTCTCACAGCTACAATAAACCTACCATTACAATAAAGGTAAAGGGACCTCTGACCATTAGGTCCAGTTGTGGCCGACTGGGGTTGCGGCGCTCATCTCACGTACAGCTTCCGGGTCATGTGGACAGCATGACAGCATCTGGCGAACCACAGCAGCGCACAGAAACGCCGTTTACCTTCCCGCCGGTGTGGTACATATTTATCTACTTGCACTTTGACATGCTTTTGAACTGCTAGGTTGGCAGGAGCTGGGACCGAGCAACGGGAGCTCACCCCATCGCGGGGATTCGAAACGCCAACCTTCTGATCAGCAAGTCCTAGGCTTTGTGGTTTAACCCACAATTATGGACTGGTAATTTCTTTGTGAGAGGGCAAACAGGCAAATTTAGTAGGGGATCAAATACTTTTACCCCCTCACTGTAACTGCTCCGGCCCCTGGAGCGGCACACATGCTGTGCACCCAGAAGTGGGGCGTGCTGCCCACGGGGGCAGTGCAGCAAGCATCCCAGGGGGGCGCCACCCATGGCGAGCATCCTAGGGGGGCAATATCTCACACACCCTTGGGGATGACCACACGCCCTGCACCCCCCTTCCTCTGCCAGTGAGTGCAACTCAGTGCACAAGAGAAGATTCACCAGGTCCCAAAGGCACCTCAGAGGCAGCACATGCAGAGAGAGAACAAAGCCACACACCCTTCCCTTGCTGGAAGGAACTAGGGATGGAGGGAGGGGATTTTGCTCTGGAGGACCATGCCCCCCACCCCTACTTCCGGCCCTCTCTAGAAATCCAGATCTTATAATACAAATAGAACAGAGGGAACATATGTGGCCTCGGGTGAAATTTACATTTTGTTACGATGTCAAAGAGAATTTTTATAAAATGGTGTATCGCTCGAATTTAACTCCTGGAAAACTTTTCAGAATGTATAAAGATGTTTCAAATGTTTGCTAGGAATGCCAAGAACACAAAGGGACATTTTTATCATGCTGGGTGGACATGTAAAAAGGCTAAAAAATATATTAGATTCAAATACATACATCGATACAGCAGGTTTTTAAACTTAATATTCATCATCCTCCTCCTCATTTTTTATCTGTATGCCGCCTTTCCATAGTTAAAACAATACTCAAGGTGACAAGATTTAGATAATTACCAACATAACAAAAGTCATAAACAATAAATAAAACACCTCAAAAAGTACACAACCAAACAGAAAACAATTTCCACATAAATAATAAAATCTAAAACTAAGAATACAGCATTAATATGAATCACAATTTAAATGACATAAATAAAAAATAAAAGCAATTTTTATATACAAACAACAACAAACAAACAAACAAAGTTCAGTTGAAAGCAGAACTCTTTCTGGACACACTATTACAAAAGGATTATGGAAGATTACTTCAGTAAATGATTGCAGCAGCGAGACTGCTATCACGTTTAATTGGAGAAAGTGGTTTTCAAATCTGGAGAAGAGCAAAACTTCACAAGGTTAGAACCAACAATATGCGGGACACAAGACCTCATATGAAACGGGTCACAAGGCCTTGGCTGGAGACCCTGCCACCCAGAATGGTTTCAAAAGTACCTCATTTGTTGTGTTGGACTTAGTCTCTGTTATCACTGGGGAGGAAGCAGAACAAGGTCACCTACTTGGGGAATATTTGCGAGACACTGACAAAAATGTGCCCCTAGTCAAGATCTGGTGCTGGGTTGCTGAATAAGAAGAGCATTGTTCCAATTGTTGCCCCTGTAAAAATCAAAGTCTCCCTTAAAATAATACACACCCATTACTATGTTTCTATTCACTGTAAATTGATTAATGGGATGTGACACTGGCGCCTTTACTAAAGCTCTTTCCACATTCCATGCACTAATATAGCTTTGCCCTGCCGTGAGTTTTTTGACTGGGTGTGAGAATTTTCCTCTGACTTAAACTCTTTCCACGTTCTTGGCAATGAAATACTTTCTCCCCAAATTACCCACTGTGCTGTTGATGGAAGTATGGATCTTTATTAGTCTTCCCTACATTTTCAGCCCTGATATGCTTTGTATGGATTGTTTGATGGGGAGCTAGATTCCAGTTGAAGGTGAAGCTGTTTCCACATTTCTAGCATTAAAATGTTTTCTCCCCGTGTGAGTTCTTGCATGTAAATTGAGACTATCCTTCCGACTGAAGCTCTTTCCACATTCCAAGCACTGATAGGGTTTCTGCCCTGTATGAATTCTTTGATGCAAAGTGAGACCTGCCCTCCTTGTGAAGCTCTTTCCACATTCTTGGCATTGAAATGGTATCTCCCCACTGTGAATTATTTGATGGGAAGTGAGACCTTCTTTCCAACTGAAGCTTTTTCCACATTCCAGGCACTGATATGGTTTCTCCCCTGTATGAATTCTTTGATGGGAAGTGAGTTGGGTGCTCTGAATGAAGCTTTTCCCACATTCCGAGCACTGATAGGGTTTCTCCCCTGTATGAATCATCTGATGGGAAGTGAGATGGGAGCTCTGACTGAAGCTCTTTCCGCATTCGGAGCACTGATAGGGTCTCTCCCCACTGTGAATTCTCTCATGTTGACGAAGGTTTGTGATTTTATTAAAACTCTTTGCACATTCCGAGCATTGATATGGTTTCTCCCCTGTATGAATTTTCTGATGGTAAGTGAGACTTCCCTTCTGGCTGAAACTCTGTCCACATTCCAAGCACTCATATGGTTTTTCTCCTGTATGAATTATTTGATGGTAAGTGAGCTTTGCCCCCTGACGGAAGCTCTTTCCACACTCTGAGCACTGATATGGTTTCTCCCCTGTATGAATCATTTGATGAGAAGTGAGATTGGCCCTATGACTGAAGCTCTTCCCACATTCCAAGCACTGATGTGGTTTCTCCCCTGTATGAATTTTTTGATGGGAAGTGAGACCGGCTCTCTGATTGAAGCTCTTTCCACATTCCAAACACTGGTAGGGTTTCTCCCCTGTATGAACTCTCTGATGGTAAGTAAGACTGACCTTATGACTGAAGCTCTTTCCGCATTCTTCACATTTAAATGGTTTCTCTCCTGTATGAATTATTTGATGGGAAGTGAGATGGGAGTTCCGACGGAACCTCTTTCCACATTCCAAGCACTGAAATGTTTTTTGCCCTGTATGAATTCTTTGATGGAGCATAAGACCTGTCCTCTGCGTGAAGCTCTTTCCACACTCTGGGCATCGAAATGGTTTCTCTCCACTGTGAATTAGTTGATGTGAAGTGAGACTTACCTTCTGGCTGAAGCTCTGTCCACATTCCAAGCACTGATAGGGTTTCTCCCCCGTATGAATTCTCTGGTGGGAAGTGAGAATTGTCCTCTGGCTGAAGCTCTGTCCACATTCCAAGCACTGATATGGTTTCTCCCCCGTATGAATTCTCTGATGGGATGTGAGACTCCTCTTGAACTTGAAGCTCTTTCCACATTCAAAGCACTGATAAGGTTTCTCCTTTGTATGAATTTTTTGATGGGAATTGAGAGTTTCCTTCTGATGGAATTTCTTTCCGCATTCCAAGCACTGATATGGTTTCTCCCCTGTATGAATTCTTCGATGGGAAGTGAGACTCTCCTTCCGACTAAAGTTCTTTCCACATTCCAAGCATTGATAGGGCTTCTCCCCTGTGTGAATTATTTGGTGGGCTGTGAGATGGGCCCTCTGACTGAAGCTCTTTCTGCATTCTAAACACTGATATGGTTTATCCCCTGTATGAATTATTTGGTGGACGGTGAGATGGGCCCTGTGACTGAAGCTCTTTCCACATTCCAAGCACTGATAGGGTTTCTCCCCTGTATGAATTCTTTGATGGGAAGTGAGATAGGTGCTTACACTGAAACTCTTACCACATTCTAAGCAACGATAGGGTTTCTCCCCACTGTGAGTTCTTTGATGGGCCGTGAATTTCGTACTTTGACTGAAGCTCTTTCCACACTCTTGGCATTTAAATGGTTTCTCCCCACGATGAATACTTTGATGTCGATGAACGTTTGTGCTTGTATTAAAGCTCTTTCCACATTCTAAGCACTTATAGGGTTTCTCTCCTGTATGAATTCTTTGATGGGAAGAGAGAGTGGCGCTGTGACTGAAACTCTTTCCACATTCCAGACATTGATACGGTTTCTTCCCTGTATGAATAATTTGATGGCCCATGAGATGGGCACTCCGACTGAAGCTCTTTCCACACTCTTGGCATTTAAATGGTTTCTCCCCAAGATGAATACTTTGATGTCGATGAAAATTTGTGCTCGTATTAAAGCTCTTTCCACATTCCAAGCACTGATATGGTTTCTCTCCTGTATGAATTCTTTGATGGGTCTTTAGGTTGGTCCTCTGACGGAAGCTCTTCCCACATTCCAAGCACTTATAGGGTTTCTCTCCTGTATGAATTCTTTGATGAGAAGTGAGAGTGGCGCTGTGACTGAAGCTCTTCCCACATTCTGAGCACTGATAGCCTTTCTTCCCACTGTGCTTTCTTCGATGGCAACAGGAGCTCTGACTGGAGCTCTCTCCACACTCCCAGTATTGATATGGCTTCTCCACTGTGTGGATTCTCTTGTGGTCTCCATTCTTCATTTCCAATCCATCACCACCTACAATGAAGAGAGAATCTAATTAGATCCTCAGGAAGAAACAGAGCCCCCAATTATTAAACAATGCTAATGAACTTTTGTGAAACAGGAAGAACGGAAGACGTGAGGTCTTTCTAGAAAGGTCATGGTCTTTATTGAACAGCATTCTCGGACATACGTATTTTTCGCTCCATAAGACGCACCTGACCATAAGACGCACCTGACCATACGACGCACCTAGTTTTTAGAGGAGGAATATAAGAAAAAAAATATTCTGAACGAAACAGTGGATGTATGATTTTTGTGGTTCATGCTGTGGCCACAGACATGTGATTTGATGGTGAGTTTGGGGTAGCCCAATGCAAAAATCCTGAGGATCCATGTGGATCCATGCTTTGTAACCACGTTTTTGAGCCATTGTGGCCCCACGCAACAGTGGGTGCATGACTTTTTTTGGTGCAGGCTGTAGCCATGGACATGCTACGTGATCTGATGGTGAATTTGGGGTGACCCAATGCAAAAATCCTGAGGATCCATGGGCTTTCCCCTCCCCCTCCCAGGCAGCCTCCTTTATTGCTAGCGTCCCTTGTCTCACTCCCGGTCGCTTGCCGATGAGCGGCTTTGTTTCAACACCCACCTCCCTCTTTTTTTAAAAAAAAGCATGATCTGCTTTTTGCCCCTGGGCAATTCGGCTCCAAGGACTACGCATTCGCTCTGTAAGTGTGTCTTATGGAGTGAAAAATATATTTATGGAAACCAGAGGTTCAAAAAGTCTGGCTCTTTTCTAGGACGGATTTAGTTTGCCACAATCATGAAATCCACTCCAACTCTAACATCGGTCTTCTCTTTCAAAAATGGGCAGAAGCAAAAACAAAACCTCATAAGCTGACATAAGTTACCTCAACTTCCCATATAACTCCACAGTCTGCATTTAAGTAGACCTGGTTGGTTCAGACCCCCTGGTCACTGTTTTAAAAGCCATAACTTCCTGGCCTCATAAAAACTGCTGCTGCGGCTGCTGCTCGGCAAGGACTAGGGAATTTTGGGGGAAAATTTGTTGGGAGTTTTTGCTGTTTTATTTTTATGTTTAAATTGTTCAGTTTCAAAGTTTTTCATGTGTTTTATTTATTTTGATGATTACTTTGATATATTTGTAATTTTGTAAATCTTTTCATATTGTAAGCCGCCTTGAGCTTTGTTTTAACTGTGGAAAGGCAGCATACAAATGATGATGATGATAACTGGAGGAAGAATATTAACAAACAGAGTAAATCCCTGCATTCAGGGTTCAAGGTGGGGATGTTAGAATCCCAGATGCTTGTCGAACTGCATCACAATATTGGCAGTTCCTCACATAGAGCAATGCATGGAATTTCAAAACAGATCTTATGATCCAGCAGAAAGCCTTACGGAGAGAGTGCAGGATCCCCCGATTCTCCTCCATGACGTCCTTATGCAGAGCTCTTTGGTCAGGATCCAGCAACGCCCATTCCTCGTCTGTGAAACGAACAGCAACATCTTCAAAGCACACTGGATCCTAAAAGAAAGAGGGAAATGTCCTCCTCTTAGACAACATAAAGATGATCTACTCCACATTGCTCTGTTGTGATCATGTTTGAATGGGATTGTTTTGTGCACATGTTAAACATAGATGCTTATTTTAACATCTCAGTGGAATTCTTTTATTGTGTATTTTAATGATGGGTATTCATCCTTGTGGGGTGACAGTACCCTTGGTGGGGAACACATCCTGCTCCTTCTGGGGTAGTTTGTCCACCTTTGATCCTCATCCTGCACTCTGCTCTCACCTGTGGCTCCTAGAAGCTGTCCGCATGAGACAGCGGCCACAATCTGGGAACGGCTTTGACTGGATGGCTAAACCAGGTGAGAAGAGCCAACCCTCAGTAAGTTAGTAATGTGTCTTGCATGTGAAGATAGACTTCAAGAGACTGAGCGGATGAGACCAAGAGTGGGTCCCAAAGTCAAGATGGTGGCTGCTGCATGTGTTTGTAGGAGGAAGAGAGGAGCAGATGGGGCGACATTTTTCCACCTTCACCGCATTAAGCAGTTGGTCCCTTACCTTTCCCGCCCCGACCTGGCCACAGTGATTCACGCGGTGGTCACCTCCAGGCTTGACTACTGTAATTCACTCTACACAGGGCTGCCCTTGAAACTGTCCCACAAACTCCAGCGGGTGCAGAATGCTGCAGCGAGGCTCCTCACGAGGTTCTTCCATGGGAGCATATTCACCCAGTGCTTTACCAGTTGCACTGGGTCAGGTTTAAGGTGCTGGTCTTGACCTTTAAAGCCCTTTGTGGCTTAGGGCCCTTGTATTTACGGGACCGCCTCTCCTGGTCTGCCCTGCAGAGGACCTTAAGGTCCATGAATAATCACAGTTTAGAGTCCTGGGCCCTAAGGAAGTCAAATTATCCTTCACCAGGGCCACGGCCTCCTCAGTGATGGCTCCGACCTGGTGGAATGTTCTGTCCCAGGAGACCAGGGCCCTGCAGGATTTAACCTCCTTCCGCAGGGCCTGTAAGACAGAGCTATTCCGCCTGGCTTTCAATTTGAACTTAGCCTGATCTTTTATTCCCCTTCCTTCCCTCCCCCTCCCCTTTTTATTAAGATTACCCACTCTGGGATCCCACAACTAATTCTCCCCAACTTGCTGGCCCAAATAGGACTAATTTAGCCAGCTAGCCCTGGTGACCCCTTCATGGATCACTGCCTTGCCGTGGTGAAGGGGCTTGAATAACTCAGAGAAGCTATGAGCTATGCCGTGCAGTGCCACCCAAGATGGACAGGTCATAGTGGAGAGTTTTGACCAAACGTGATCCACCTGGAGCAGGAACCGGCAAGCCACTCCAGTATCCCTGCCAAGAAAACTCCATGGACAAAGGCAACAGGCATATAAAAGTTATGACGCTGGAAGGTGAGCCTCTCAGGTCGGAAGGCGTCCAACATGCTACTGAGGAAGAGCGGAGGACAAGTACAAGTAGTTTCATAGAATCATAGAATCATAGAGTTGGAAGAGACCACAAGGGCCATCGAGTCCAACCCCCTGCCAAGCAGGAAACACCATCAGAGCACTCCTGACATATGGTTGTCAAGCCTCTGCTTAAAGACCTCCAAAGAAGGAGACTCCACCACACTCCTTGGCAGCAAATTCCACTGCCGAACAGCTCTTACTGTCAGGAAGTTCTTCCTAATGTTTAGGTGGAATCTTCTTTCTTGTAGTCTGGATCCATTGCTCCGTGTCCGCTTCTCTGGAGCAGCAGAAAACAACCTTTCTCCCTCCTCTATGTGACATCCTTTTATATATTTGAACATGGCTATCATATCACCCCTTCCCTCCTCTTCTCCAGGCTAAACATGCCCAGCTCCCTTAGCCATTCCTCATAAGGCATCGTTTCCAGACCTTTGACCATTTTGGTTGCCCTCCTCTGGACACGTTCCAGTTTGTCAGTGTCCTTCTTGAACTGTGGTGCCCAGAACTGGACACAGTACTCCAGGTGAGGTCTGACCAGAGCAGAATACAGTGGCACTATTACTTCCCTTGATCTAGATGCTATACTCCTATTGATGCAGCCCAGAATTGCATTGGCTTTTTAGCTGCCGCGTCACACTGTTGGCTCATGTCAAGTTTGTGGTCAACCAAGACTCCTAGATCCTTTTCACATGTACTGCTCTCAAGCCAGGTGTCACCCATCTTGTATTTGTGCCTCTCATTTTTTTTGCCCAAGTGCAATACTTTACATTTCTCCCTGTTAAAGTTCATCTTGTTTGTTTTGGCTCAGTTCTCTAATCTGTCAAGGTCATTTTGAAGTGTGATCCTGTCCTCTGGGGTGTTAGCCACCCCTCCCAGTTTGGTGTCATCTGCAAATTTGATCAGGATGCCCTTGAGTCCATCATCCAAGTCGTTGATAAAGATGTTGAATAAGACCGGGCCCAAGACAGAACCCTGTGGCACCCCACTAGTCACTCTTCTCTAGGATGAAGAGGAACCATTGATGAGCACCCTTTGGGTTCGGTCAGTCAGCCAGTTACAAATCCACTGAGTGGTAGTATAGTCAAGACCGCATTTTACCAGCTTCTTTACAAGAATATCATGGGGCACCTAGTCGAATGCCTTGCTGAAATCAAGGTAGGCTACATCCACTGCATTTCCTTCATCTACCAGGCTTGTAATTCTGTCAAAAAACGAGATCAGGTTAGTCTGACATGACTTATTTTTCAGAAATCCATGCTGACTATTGGTGATCACAGCATTCCTTTCTAGGTGCTCACAGACTGTTTGCTTAATGATCTGCTCCAGAATCTTCCCTGGTATTGATGTCAGACTGACTGGGCGATAATTATTTGGGTCCTCTCTTTTCCCCTTTTTGAAAATAGGGACAACATTTGCCCTCCTCCAGTCTGCCGGGACTTTGCCTATTCTCCAGGAATTCTCAAATGACTGCCAGTGGTTCTGAGATCACATCTGCCAGTTCTTTTAATACTCTTGGATGCAGTTCATCTGGCCCTGGAGACTGCACTCCACTCTCACCTGCGTTTCCTAGAAGCTGTCAGGATGAGACAGCGGCCACAATCCTGGGAACGGCTTTGACTGACCGGCTAAACCAGCTGAGAAGAGCCAATGAGTCAGGGACTTCCCTGTCCATGCTAAGACATTTCAGCACATTGAGCAGAAGATACCAAGAGTAGGTCCCACAGTCAAGTTGGTGGTTGCTTCCTGTTCTTCAGAGGGAAGAGAGGAGCAGATGAGGTTCGTCCACCTGGGAAGGGAGCCCAACTAAGAGAAGGAAAACGTTGATCCTAAACCTCCTCCGCCCTGTGGGATATCTTTGGGAGAAGAAAAGGCTACGGAGTGAAGCCAACACAAATCTGGAATGGAGTCCCTAAGGCAGTTGGATAGAGCCTTGTACACCTACTTCCAGCAACTCCTACAGCTCAGCTGATGCCAAACATCTTGCTCTGCTTTCCTTTGGACCACATCAGAGAGCCCAAGAGTGGGCTTTTGCCGTCTGGACAGCCCAGGACCTCCATCCACACTGCTCAGGCTTGCGCCCCAAGGAGGTCAAGTTACTAGTCTCTGCAGCCACAGCAGACTCTTGAGTCAGATGGAGGCCAAAAACAGCAATTTACCTTTCTGCAAATGGTGAAACACCACAATGTGCAGCTGATGAGACTCGCTGGGTGAATCCTGGTCACTTTTTATGCTTGGTCAACTGCTTAGATTACAGCCTTTCTCAACCTTGGGTCCCCAGATATTTTTGGCCTACAACTCCCATCACCCTTAGCTAGCAAGGCAAGAGCTCAGGGATGATGGGAGTTGTAACCCAACAACATATGGGGACCCAATGTTGAGAAACACTGGCTTAAAAGCTTCTATTAGCGTTCAGTGTTAAATATATGAAGAAAACTGCAGCTACTGACAAATAATACTAGTTTCAACCTTTGTTGACGGCAACCATGATGGAAGCCAAAAGGAAGAGAGAGATTTGTTTAGGCCCAGAGTCACCTTACCAACAAAGGTCCGTATAGTAAAAGCCATGGTTTTCCCAGTAGTGATGTATGGAAGTGAGAGCTGGACTATCAAGAAGGCTCATCGCCGAAGAATTGATGCTTTTGAATTATGGTGCTGGAGGAGACTCTTGAGAGTCCTATGGACTGCAAGAAGATCAAACGTATCCATTCTTAAGGAGATCAGCCCTGAGTGCTCACTGGAAGGACAGATCCTGAAGCTCCAAGACTTTGGCCACCTCATGAGAAGAGAAGACTCCCTGGAAAAGACCCTGATGTTGGGAAAGATGGAGGGCACAAGGAGAAGGGGACGACGGAGGACGAGATGGTTGGACGGTGTTCTCGAAGCTACAAACATGAGTCTGACCAATCTGCGGGAGGCAGTGGAAGACAGGAGGGCCTGGCGTGCTCTGGTCCAGGGGGTCACGAAGAGTCGGACACGACTAAACGACTAAACAACAACAACACCTGGCTGCCCCACCCCTCGGCCTCTTTCCCCACACGTCTCCTTCCCCCTACCTGATCTGGTTCCACAGCCGCTGCTTCCCCTTCGCCACCATGAAAAGACGGAGGAGGAGGTCTTGCTGCCATCGTTCTCTCACCTGCGAGAGACAAAGTTAACTGGGAAACCCAGAGTGTATTGTTCTCTCTGAGATTCAGCTGTGCATCTCGAACTACAGACGAGCCTCAGAAAAAAGTCTCACCTGCTAAGGGCATTTTGACATTTCTATCCATTTCATATTTTATTTGTGTTAAAACACTGTCCCCGCTCCTCTGTCCCTCCAAAACATGAAACCCACCCCCAAATTATTAGTTTCAAAATCCACTAAATATGACAGAGTAAAAACTCCTTCCTCCTTACCCATTGGCCTCTCTCCGGTGCCCAACGGAGTCCTTTCTGCTGCAGAGGAATCAGGACCCATTTCTGCTAACAGATCCTTTCTCTGAAAGAACAACACAGATTCAGAAGAGGCAAAAACTTTAGGATGCTTTCCATTAGTAGGGCATTTTGGAATACTCTCCTCTTGTTTGGAACTCACTGGGAGTTTCCAGAGGAAAGTCTCTCTCACCTGCTGCTCTGCCTGCTCCCTCTCCTCTGCCTGACTCAGGAGGAAACCTTCAGCCAGGGCCACTGCCTGGGAACTGGTCTCCGCTCCACAGTCCCTCACCCAGCTCTCCATCTCCAGGGGAAGGACAGCCAGGAACTGCTCCAAGATCACCAGGTCCAGCATCTCAGCTTTCGTATGTCTTTCTGGCTTCAGCCACTGATGGTCTAGTTGGCAGAACCGGCTGCAAACCTCTCGGGGTCCTTCGGCCTCTTGGTAGCAGAACTTCCTGAACGGCTGGCTCCGTACATCAGAGCGGGGAATGTCCTCCTCACCCAGGAACCTTTGCATGGAGTTTTCCCATAATCCCCCGCTGCTCCCAGTTTGCATATCATGGTCTCTTCCCACTTCAGGACCAACTGAGTCTTGCTCATCCATCTCTGCTCTCAGGAAGTCTCCAAGAGATCAGAAGGAATCTTCTGCCACGTTCTGTCTGTGCGAATCAGAGGTGCCAACAAATCCTACAACAGAAATGTGTTGCTCTGTTGTAAAATTATAAACCATCAGGAGAAGTAAAACCTTCCTTGAAAAAGCCTGCATGCTCAAAAAAACTGGCCAGTTTTCAAGATCCATTTCAGTTGTGCTTTAGGCCTGGTTTTGACACAGAAATCACTTTGGTCACCCTGTATGGTGACCTCTGTCAAGAGAGAGACAGGGGAAACATGTCCCTGTTAATTCTCCTCAACCTCTCAGCGGCTTTTGATACCATCGACTGTGGCATCTTCCTGGAGCGCCTGTCCCAGTTAGGGGTGGGTGGCCCCCCTTTGCAGTGGTTCTGGTTCTACTGGGATGAACGTTCCCAGAGGGAACTACTTGGGAAGCCCCATGGAGCCTTCAATGTGGGGTTCCTCAGGGCTCAATCCTATCCCCTATGCTGTTCAACATCTACATGAAACCTCTGGGTGGGGTTATCTGGAGATCTGATGACACCCAGCTCAAACTGAAACTCAATCCAGACAAGACTGAAGCCTTGTTAGTGAGTGGTTCCCTAGACCAGATGGCTGGGAGGTCGCCTGCTCTTGCTGGGGTTACCCTTCCTCTGAAGGAGCAGGTTCATAGCTTGGGGGTCCTCCTGGATCCTTTGCTATCCCCTGAGGCTCAGCTGGCCTCAGTGGCCTGGTGTGTCTTCCATCAGCTTCAGCTGGTGGCCCAGTTGTGCCCCTATCCGGACATCCTGACTACTGTTGTCTATGCTCTGGTAACCTCAAGGTTAGATTGCTGCAATGCATTGTACATAGGGCTGCCTCTGGGGAAGGTTTGGAAACTTCTGCCAGTGCAGAATTCAGCAGCCAGTTTGCTCAAAGTGCTGATTTTGACGGCTCAGGGCCACAATGCCTCAAGGACCACCTCTTTCCATATGAACGTACCTGGACCCTGAGATCACCTTGTGATGCCTGGAGGGCCTTCTCTGCAGTGGCTCCCCATCATTGAATGTTCTCCCCAGGGAGGCTCGCCTGGCGTAGGAACTGGCTGCTATGCCAATACAGTCATACCTTGGGTTACAGATGCTTCAGGTTGTGTGTTTTCGGGTTGCGCACTGCGCCGAACCCGGAAGTACCAGAACGGGTTACTTCCGGGTTTTGGTGCTCACGCATGTGCAGAAGCACTAAATTGCGCTTTGTGCATGCGCAGAAGAGCCAAATTGCGACCTGTGTGTGTGCAGACGTGGCACTTCAGGTTGCGAACGTGCCTCCCACACGGATCACGTTCACAACCCGAGCATCCACTGTATTTATTTACCTGTCTTATAGCTGCCCCAAAGCAGAAGTACTCCAGGTGTAGTGGTAATAATAATAATAATAATAATAATAAACTTTATTTATACCCCGCCCTCCCCAGCCAAGACCGGCCTCAGGATGGCTAACAACCGATATAAAAACAAACTGATTGAAATACAACTTTAAAACAAGATTAAAATACAATATTAAAACATTAAAATGCAGCCTCATTTCAATGGAAACTCAGATCAAAAACTGTAGAGTGTCAGACAAGGACCAGGGAGATCAGGGTTCAAATCCCCACTCAGTCCTCAAGCTCTCTGGGTGACCCTGGAGTGTGTCCCCCTGGGAGACCCCCTGCGAATGGTGCAGAAGATGCTCAAACCCTGGGCTAGGAGCCCTTTCCAGAGACTGGGAGCCAGGTGGCCTGAAGGCTCCGCTTGCCAGCACAGGACCACCACCCCCTTCATCCCACTCCCGTCACCTGGCCTACGCCAGAGCGGCTGATTTGGGGACCCTTTGGGGTCTCGGCTGAAGGCAAATTCACTCTGGCGGGAGGGAGCCCTGGGAGCTGGACGTGCCTCGTGGGGAAGCGCAGGGTTGCTGTGGGTTTTTTGAAAAGAGAGATAGATAGATACTTTATTTACATGAGCCACTAGCAATAGCAATAAGATAACACATTTGGGGGATAGAGTATAAATGTTTGTTATACAAAATATGTCTCGGAGGTTGACATTGATACAAATGACCAAACTGATAGCTGGCGATTTAGGCGCAGAGGAAACATGTGAGCCTAATAGGCTTCCCTGAGCAATGTTAGAAAGTAAATCCAATACAGTGGTACCTCTAGTTACGTACTTAATTCGTTCTGGAGGTCCGTTCTTAACCTGAAACTGTTCTTAACCTGAAGCACCACTTTAGCTAATGGGGCCTCCTGCTGCAGCCACGCAATTTCTGTTCTCATCCTGAAGCAAAGCAAAGTCTGTAACCTGAAGTGTATGTAACCTGAAGCGTACGTAACCCGAGGTACCACTGTAATCTCTCTTACTCTATTTGCCCTGCTAATAACTTTGCAGTTTCTGCTGTCTTCTGGTCTCCTTGATCTGCCAGAAGAAAAGACACAGAAGCAATGCTGGAGGGACCTGGCAAGAGGAGGAAGACCCTCCAACCCTTTAAGGAGAGCCCAGGGCTTTATCCGGGCCCCCCCCGACCCCTCCCTCCCCAAGGGGACAAGCGGCGCCCGGGTGCCAAGCAAGGAGAGCGGGGCAGAGCCCTGGCCCCCTCGCCCCCCCCTGCAGGATCTGACCAGCCCCCCCCGCCCCCCCTTCTCCCCACGGCGAGACTCACCCCGAGAGGGAGACCGAGCAGCCCCTCGGCGGGCAGAAGGGGGGCCGGCCAGGGAGGGGCCTGGGCCAGGGAGGACCTCGGCCACCCCACGACGCCACTTCCGGTCCTCTCTAGGAATCCAGCTCTGCTGCTTTTAACCCATGGCAAGCCGAGCGGAACCTCCTCCTCCAAGGAAGGAACCACGTTCATCGCCCCCCCAGATGCTTCTTTTGGGAGACCCCCCCCCAAGAAGCAGGGGACCCTCACGTAGGAGAGTCTGGAAGGGAGCCCGGGGGGCATCTAGTCCACCCCTGCCAGGCAGGAAGCTCAGCTCCAGCATCCCTGACCCCCACCCTCGGCAGGAACCTCCCTCCCCCCCCCGCCTGCCGCTCTCTCCCCCCCTGGGCAGTTAGACGACTCCCCAAAAATCCCGAGCCCCCCCCCCCAGCCTCGAACTAAGGCCAGGACAAGGAGCCCGACCGTTTCCCTTCCGCCTTTACACAAGCCCCAGACATGCAGAAAAGCAGCCTGTAAAACCCTAGCAAGAAGGAGATCCCTGCATTGTCCTGTTTCCACTGGCGGTGAGAGGCTTCCTTTGGGAGACCACCTGAACTGCCCCCAGCCCAGGCCAGAAGCAGGAGGAGGAGCAGCCGGGAGGAGAGAAGAAGAAGCCCAAGGAAGGAGCTGGGGATGTTGAGCCTGGGAAAGAGGAGACGAGAGGAGATCCGAGAGCAACTGAGCATGGGAGAGTCTGGAAGGGAGCCCGGGGGGCATCTAGTCCAGCCCCTGCCAGGCAGCATCCCTGACCCCCACCCTCGGCAGAAACCTCCCTCCCCCCCCGCCTGCCGCTCTCTCCCCCCCTGGGCAGTTCGACGACTCCCCAAAAATCCCGAGCCCCCCCCCCCAGCCTCGAACTAAGGCCAGGACAAGGAGCCCGACCGTTTCCCTTCCGCTTTTACACAAGCCCCAGACATGCAGAAAAGCAGCCTGTAAAACCCTAGCAAGAAGGAGATCCCTGCATTGTCCTGTTTCCACTGGCGGTGAGATGCTTCCTTTGGGAGACCACCTGAACTGCCCCCAGCCCAGGCCAGAAGCAGGAGGAGGAGCAGCCGGGAGGAGAAGAAGCAGCCCAAGGAAGGAGCTGGGGATGTTGAGCCTGGGAAAGAGGAGACGGAGAGGAGATCCGAGAGCAACTGTTATAAGAATTTTAAAGTCATGAGAAGGGGACGACAGAGGAGGAGATGGTGGGACAGTGTTCTCGAAGCTACCAGCATGAGTTGGACCAAACTGGGGGAGGCAGTGGAAGACAGGAGGGCCTGGCGTGCTCTGGTCCAGGGGGTCACAAAGAGGCGGACACGACTAAACAACAACATGTATCTTTCTGTTTCCTCTGCATATCCAATACAGTATAGAAAAGGTAGACTCTTCACAAATAATCACCAAATTTCAGCGGTTTGACTGATTTCCTTGGTTCCAATGGTTAATAACTCCTCTGGAAGAGGGGTATTCAGGGCTCACCTCCTCCATAATCCCTTAAGCATGAGGTCACATACTCCTTGCCTCTCCATAAGGTGTGAATTTAGCCTCACAATAGGAGGCAGGAGGCGATCAAGGGCAGTAATCCAGGGATGGAGAATTGAGTCCTGATACTTTCAAAGGAGAAGCGCAGGAAAGCCTTGCTCCTCCGGAAAAATGGGCATTCCTTAAACAGGATACTGGGCCTTAAACCGCACCTCATGGGCACCCCTTTGACTATACTGTCCCTTTTTCTCTCCTTATCCAAACCTCACCCGTAGATAAGGGTAGAGCGCTTGTGCCGACCTTTCCATTCATAAAACACCTGGCCAATCACCAGGCACCATTCATGTTGTTGTTTGGTCGTGTCCGACTCTTCGTGACCCCCTGGACCAGAGCACGCCAGGCACTCCTGTCTTCCACTGCCTCCCGCAGCTTGGTCAAACTCATGCGGGTCGCTGCACGAACACTGTCCCAATCTCTCGTCCTCTGTCATCCCCTTCTTCTTGTGCCCTCAGTCTTTCCCAACACCAGGGTCTTTTCCAGGGAGTCTTCTCTTCTCATGAGGTGGCCAAAGTCTTGGAGCCTCAGCTTCAGGATCTGTCCTTCCAGTGAGCACTCAGGGCTGATTTCCTTCAGAACGGATAGGTTTGATCTTCTTGCAGTCCATGGGACTCTCAAGAGTCTCCTCCAGCAATAACAACAGGAGTATAAATGTCAAACTAGCAGCCAATAAAGTCCCCTTATGTTGACAGCTACTGATCCAATGGGAGTTACGGAACAGCGCCCCTGAGGAGGGCTACACAGGTACTGCAGCTCTCAAGCCAGACTCGGCTCAGTTGAAGTAATCAGAAGCACCACTGGGAATAAGGGGACGTGAGAACAGGCAATCAAAACCACTTTTGACACATTTGTAGTGAAAACCTCTAGAAATTCATGTAAAATAACTCCAGGGAGGGATTTACACCTTTCCAAGGTTGTTCTACTCAGAAGGAGGGGGTAGGAAGTCAAGTTTTCAAATGTCAAAATGAATGTAAAATCTGTGAAATGTGTGTGTGTGTGTGTGAAAATATAATTAAATAATTAAAATATAATATTTTGAAAATGTGGTTTTTTCCCCCCCTTGTGGAAAGAATCATGGAGCTGTAGGGTTGGAAATAATAATGGAACTGTCTGTGTGCAGACAGTCTCCGCTTGCAAGCACGGTCTGCCTTTTTGCCATTGAGCCAGTCCCCACATTTGCCCAGCACAGGTAATATGAAATTACTGGGTTATATTCTCCAAACAACATTAAACTCGTGCAAGCGAGTTAATGATTTCCCCGCCTCCTTGAACTCCCCAGACAAACGAAATTTATGATACTTTAGCAGTGCAGATCACTGTGGATCAAATGGTGCATTCTACTGTTAACGTTACATCTTAAAAGATACGCTTTGATACAAAAGTAACTACACTCAATCTATAAATGGAACCTCAGAAAATCAAGTTGCACCAAAGGAACATAAAACAACAACAAAACTGTTTCACTTTATGGATCAAAAGATAATCTCTGCTGGATTTGAAATTATATTATGTGGCATCTTGTCTCTGCTGGCTAAGGGAATGGATAACTTTTAAGAAATACAGATATTTTAGACCTTGAGGGTCACGATAATAGATTTGGTTGGCATGCATATTTATGGTATGAAAAGACCAAATGGCATAAAGTATTTTTGAACCATTTGGCAAGAAAAACTATTTATGGTGTATGGGAAAAGTGAGCAACCTCATAGAAGTAGAACAACAATTGAAATTGAAAAGATTTGAACATATAAGACAGTTAGTTACAGATTGGTTGCAAAAATCCAGAACTGAACTGTACAAACTTGTACAAGAACTCAGTAACAGGCCTGATTTCTGAAGGGCTTTGCTGACGTGAAAATGACCTAGCACACAGATTTATATCTCTAAGATCTTGCAGGCTTTGGCTGTGAACCCACAAAAAAATTCAAGTTGTGCCCCAGAGTTTCAACTGGGCCACACTGGCTGGCCCTGAGTCTCAGAGTTGCTGGGCCCAAGTTGTCTTGGGTTTGCAATTTGGGGAGAGGAGACTGCCTGCTGGGGAGCGGGCAGGCTGGGGAGGCCCCCTAGATTTAGTGGCCTTAATGACTTCAGCCTAGCTTCAGCCTATAAAGCAGTACACATCAGGTTAAGTAATATAATTAATGATTCCAAGGAAGGTCCAGTATCTTAAGCACTGAAACTGATTCATAACCTGAAGCACCACGTTAGCTAATAGGGCCATCTTTGCAGCGTATGTAACCTTGAGTGTACTAGTGGCTGCCTCGCACAGACCTAAAGAATCTGTATTCTAATTCGAGTCTCTTTGTCTAGCAGGTTCTTTCCGTCCTTGCGAATCCCAAGCCCATTAGAGGTCTTAGCATGGCATTAAGCGCTACCTAGTAATAGCCGACTTAGCCGGTCTTTAAGATCAGCTGATCTAAGCGGCTTAATCTAGATCAGCTGATAACGTTTAAAGCCATCAGCTAGTTAAGCCGCTTAATGATCAGTCTGATCAGCGGCTTAGCATCAGCTGTTAAGCTTGCAAAGATCTGCTGATAGGTGGTCTTAGCATCAGCTGTTCAAGCTGCTTCACAACTGATCAGCTGATCAGCGGTTCTAGCCATCAGCTCGATAAGTCGGTTTAGCAGCATTGGGAAAAGGCGGGAAGGATAGAAACCCTACAGGAACTCGCAAGACTATTTCGCCTATGCAGTAGCAAGCACAGGTTAGGAAATTTGTTTTGCGAGGTCCGTTCTAAACCGGAAAACCCTTTCGTCTAAGCGGGCTTTCCGTCTTGCGAGGCATTCGTCTTAAGCGTAGGCACCACTGTAACACTGTACATAAATCCGGCACTGGGTCTATTCTCATCTGTAAGTGAACTCACATTCGAAACAATGAATAAGAAATCAAAGTTAATTTCCTGGGACGCATTTTATTCAATCTCACCTACAATTCTGTGTGCTGAACACACACAAACACATAGCTAATATGAAATTCCTGGGAGTTATGGTCTCCAAACAACATTAAACTCGTGCAAGCAGGTTAATGATTTCCCCGCCTCCTTGAATTCTCCAGACAAACGACATTTATGATACTTTAGCAGTGCAGATCACTGTGCATCAAATGGTGCATTCTACTGTTAACATTACACCTTAAAATATATTATGCTTTGATACGGAAGTAGCAACACTCCATCTATAAAGGGAACCTGAAAAAGTTGCACCAAAGGAACATAACAAAGACACATAAATGGAACATTTTAAAAAACACAACTTTAAAATACATTCAAGTATGGGTGTGTTTTGTGGTGTGTGTGTGTTTGCTTCAAATGTAGGGTGTGTACAGTCTCAGGGGCCTTCCAGGTCCCCCAACTTCAGATTTCTTGACCTAAAGAACTGGGCTGCCCATAACTAAGCAGGTTAAAGGGTGTGATAAGATTTCTGCGATGGTTGTTTAATTCCATTTTAGAAGCCGGGTGTCCCAGTCCAGGCGCTGAGACTGTCATCTGCCAGACTCGTCTTTGGAAGCAGCAAAGTCCAGCGTCGTGGCCTCTGTCTCTGGATCAATGCTACGTCCTTTCAAGAACTTCTGAAATATTTTATTTTGATTTCATGTGGTTGTTTTGAGGACCGTTCTCTGTCCTGGTCTTGCTTTCAGATGGGACTGTTGACATTACAAAAAGATATCCTTGCAACTGTTCACTGGACTGCATACACAATCATCTGTATTTAATTCTTTTTAAAGGTTATGGGTTATATTTTGTGGAGCGGGACTTGGGAGGTAAGAGAGGAGCTCAACCTTAGGGGCATTACCTGTATTTTGTATTTTGGCATTACCTGTGCTATGTTTCCAGAAAAAGAGGTGCCGGAACTGAGTTCACAGGATTTTCACAGGAAAGCAAGGGAGCAATTCATAATGGACAGTTACAATCTTGATTGGTTCCCTCATTTGTGGTTAGTAGAGAGGATTAAACTGGATAAAAAAAATTATGGTATACAGCAAGAAAGGACAGACTTTGAAACTCCACAGTACACAAATGATGCAAAATGTATAAACCATTGCTGAAATTTGAGACTGAAGAACAGGTGAAAGAATGCATGATTAAAGAAAGGGGCACAAACTCTGGTTATAATATACGGAAAGAACAGTGGGAACCTATGTGGACTAAGGAGTTAAAATTTACATTTTCTTATGATCTCAAAGAGATTTTTCATAAAGTGATGTCGCTGGTATTTAACTCCTGGAAAACTTTTCAGAATGTACAAAGATGTTTCAAATGTTTGCTGGGAATGCCAAGAACACAAAGGGACATTTTATCATGCTGGACGGACATGTAAAAAGGCTAAAATATATATTGCATTCAAATACATACATCGATACAGCAGATTTTAAAAGTTAATATTCAGTTGAAACCAGGACACTTTTTGGACACACAATTAGAAAAGGATTATGGAAGATTACTTCAATATAGGATTACAGCAGCGAAATTGCTATATACACAAAGATGCAAAGATACAGTCCGACCCAGGAATGGCTGATGAAACTATAGGGGTTGGCTCAAATGGCAAAGTTAACATGCTTAATTAGAGACAAATCATCACTGACAGTTATTAAGCATTTCCATTTCTTGTGGAGTTTCCGTGTGAAAGAGAAAAGGAACTTGTAATATCTGGATTTTCTGGTTTAGAGAACACTTGGATCTGAATGAGTGAATAATGTGTTTTGCTACAGGACAGAGCACCAGAAATCCTTTAATCTTTCCCCCTTCCATTAATCTTTTTCTCTCTTTCTCTTCTTTTGTCCTAACACGAAAAAGGGTTAAAGCACCATTAACAAGCATAGCAAGAGGGTTGTTGTTACTCCTTGGGAATTGGATCTGCTTCCGCATATTGTTGAATATCACACGAAACCCTCCATTTACACCAGTCCAGGTATTGACACTGGTACATCCTTCAAAGGAGGAGGGGAATGATACCTGGGAGGCATGACAATACCTGAAAGCCATAACCCGGAAGTTGGCACATCACACACCCAGCCGAGTACCAGGTTGGCATAACTTCGTTCCCACAGTCACCACCACAAAGCATCCAGAGTTGCTGAAACAGCAAAATGTTTCCCCAGTTGCAACCTCAAGACCACTTACGCCTGGCCTGAGCTCAAGATAAGGGTCAGGAAGCAACTGCCCTGTAGACAAGGAGAAGAAAATCCTGACTTCTGCATATCTTCTCCATGCACACATTTGTGTGTTTCCTACAGTTGTATAAAAGCTTTATGCACTCTTTGTTTTGGGTTCTTTTGGAGATATCAAAACAAAGACTCACTCCTGCACCTTTGAATGACCACTTTTAACTTGCCACCTGTTGTCTCTCCATTGACTGGAAGAGGGACAGCATTTTTGGGGTGAGGCTGGGGTTCTTGTGCCAATGGCCCAATGCAGGAAGGGTGACCCAAGGTCCCGGAAAATTATCTTTTGTGGGTACGAACCTGGGACAAAGGGGTGGAGATTTGCCTATCCAGAAGGCGATCAGTCAAGGGTTCTAGTCAGCAGGAGTGCTGAGTTCTGTGAGAAGAGTGGGTGGACACGCATCCATGGGAACCCTGACGTTCTCTCAGAGAGTCTGTTTGATTCTGCTGAGGAGGGAGAGGTTGACACTGAACCTGCTGCTGAGGATCAGGTCTCTGACCAGGAGCAGGAACAGGGAAGGGCATCTCCGCAGGCTATCAAGAGAGAGCCAAAAAGTGAGCCTTCATCTTCCACCAGTCCAGTGCAGAAGTTCAGAAGACGCAGTAAGTCAGAGGGGGAGTCCTCTGGTGACTTGGACGCACTAGCTGGCCCCAGTGGGTCAGAGGGGGCACCTGAAGTAGTGATCAGGCATTCCACATGCACTACTAAAGGGATACCTCCTGAGAGGTTTGAGGTCACTAGTGTGTGGGTTGGTTTGGCACAGTGCGAACCAGAGAGTTTTGAGGAAGTTCAACAATTGCCCAAAACAGAAGCCAGGAAATGGCAAGAGGCAATGGGAAAGGAGTTGAACTCAATGAGGTCTCTAGATGTGTTCTCCACCACGAAGCTGCCAGCAGGCAAGCAGGCAAGCAGGCTGTGAGCTGTCGCTGGGTTTACAGGATTAAGCCCACAGCAACTGGAGAACCACAGTACAAGACTAGGCGAGTAGCCAGAAGTTTCATGCAGCGGAAGGGGCTGCATTACACCAAAGTGTATGCTCCTACGTCCCACAGTGAAACTCTGCGCATGCGCTTAGCAGTAGCTGCACAAAGAGAGCACCAAGTGCACCACTTTGATGTGGATGTGGCTTATTTGAACTCAGACCTGAAGGAGGATCTGTACATGCTACCTCCTCCAGGGTTTGAGGGCAATGAGCCAGATGTTGTGTGGAAACTGCACAAGTACATTTATGGCTTGAAAGAATCAGCCAGAAATTGGAACATGTGTATGAACGTGTATGAGCTTGCAGGGCAGCAGTTGAAGAAGGAGCAAAAAGGGTTTTCTTGTGTGTGTGTGTGTTTCTTTGTGGCTGATTAGCTGCTCTCCCTGTGCAAAGGTCAGAGGGGGCAGGGTTTCTGTTGAGTCAGGTGATTAGCTGTGGGAGGAGCTTATCAGAGCTTGCAGGGCAGCAGTTGAAGAAGGAGCAAAAAGGGTTTTCTTGTGTGTGTGTGTCTGTTTCTTTGTGGCTGATTAGCTGCTCTCCCTGTGCAAAGGTCAGAGGGGCAGGGTTTCTGTTGAGGCAGGTGATTAGCTGTGGGAGGAGCTTATCAGAGCTTGCAGGGCAGCGTGCACAGTTTGATCCATCTTTTAGATTTAGGGAGCTAGTCTCAAACGTTTGTTGGGGAGACCTAGGTTTTTTTGAGGGGAGTTAGTTGTCCTGTCTTAACGCTTTTTATGATGGAGGACCACTGTAGCCACCCCCAACAACACGTTCTCAAGATGGAGGGGGAGGGAACAGCTGCAGTCGCCTGCGGTTCCTGCGCAATGTTTGCCATCTTGCCAAAGGTTGCAGGCAGCTTTACCTGCAGCAATTGCATGTTGATTGCCCTCTTAAAAGACAAAGTCCAGCAACTGGAGGAACGTGTAGCTACGCTCCAAAGAATTAGAGGCTGGAGCTCTTCTTGGAAGCAACAGAGCACACCGTCTCCACCAAGGAGGAGACAGGGGACTCCCCTGAGAAGGAGGCTAGTTCACCAACACAGGAGCCAGATATATGGAGAAACGTGACTCAAAGAAGTAGGAGGCCCAGGGTTCGCTCTGACTGTTTAGAAATACACAATCGCTTTGAGGTCCTCTCCCCTAGCATGGAAGACAAAGAGCAGACTCCATTTGAGGATCTCTCTCATTACAGTCGATCAGGTATATGAAGACGAGCAGCAAAGTCAGTCCTCAGGGAATGTGCAGGCGACCTTGGAACGGACAGCTCACGGAAGAGCCCCGACCAAACCTAAGAGGAGGCGTGTAGTGGTGATAGGGGATTCCCTACTGAGGGGAACAGAAGCAGTGATCTGTGGGCCTGACAAGATGTCTCGGGAAGTGTGCTGTCTCCCCCCGGGGCTAAGATCCAAGATGTAACTGAACGACTACAAGGAATCATAAAACCCACTGACAAATACCCTTCACTTGGTTCATGTGGGAACCAATGACACTGCAAGCAATAGCCTCCAGAAGATCAAAAGAGACTACGAGGCTCTGGGCAGGAAATTGAAGCAATTAAATGCACAAATTGTCATCTCATCTGTCCTCCCAGTTGAACGACGTGGCCCAGGGAGAGAGGGAAAATAGAGGAAGTGAACAGCTGGTTTCGCAAATGGTGTAAACAGGAACGGTTTGGATTCTTAGATCATGGACTGTAGTTTCTTGAAGATGGACTTCTGGCAAGCGATGGGCTGCACCTCACAACGGTTGGGAGAAATGTTTTTGCCACAAATCTCAGAAACCTCATCAGGAGGGCTTTAAACTGACTAATGTGGGGAAGAGAGACAGTGCTCCTGAAGGTAGGAGTCTATCAATTGATGAAGATGATCATCCAAATGTCATAGACCAAATGGAGCAAACAGCACACAGACCTAGTGGTGGGAGGAAAAATCCTTAAATAAGAGACACGGGGGAATGATTAATGGACTTCAATGTCTGTACACTAATGCGCAAAGCATGGGAAATAAACAAGATGAGCTGGAGTTCTTGGTACAGCAAACTAAATATGACATAATAGGCATCACTGAAACCTGGTGGGATAAGTCCCACAATTGGAATGTAATAATGGAGCGATACAATCTATTTCAGAGAAGCAGACCAGACAAGAAAGGAGGAGGAGTGGCGTTATATGTCAGGGATGTGTATATCTGTGAAGAGATCCAAGATTTAGAACCTCAAAGCCAAAGTGAGAGAATTTGGGTCAAAATTAAGGGATAAAAGAATACAGTGACCTCATTGTGAGAGTTTACTATAGATCCCCAAGCCAAACGGAGGACATAGATGATGCCTTCCTGGAACAGATGGCCAAGCATGCAAAAGGAAGGGAGATAGTAGTAATGGGGGACTTCAATTACCCAGATATTTGTTGGATGTCAAACTCAGCCAAGAGCATAAGGTCAAACAGATTCCTCACTGGCCTTGCAGACAACTTCATTGTCCAGAAAGTGGGAGAAGCAACAAGAGGAACAGCCATTTTAGATCTGGTCCTAACCAATGTTGATGACCTGGTTAGTGGGGTAGAAGTGGAAGGATCATTAGGCGCGAGTGATCATGCTCTTCCGAAGTTTACTATACAGCAGAAAGGAGCAGCCAAGCATACTAGGACTCAATTTCTTGACTTTAAGAAAGCCGACTTCATAAAACTTAGGGAAGTGCTGGGTGAGATCCCATGGACAGTAATACTAAAAGGAAAGGGAGTTCATGATGGCTGGGAGTTTGTTAAGAGGGAGATAGTAAAAGCACAACGTCAGGCAATACCAATGAGACGGAAACATGGAAGGTGCCTAAAGAAGCCAGGGTGGCTATCTAAAGAACTTTTAACTGAGTTAAGATTTAAAAAGGATGTGTAGAAAAATGGAAAAGGGGGAAACCACCAAAGAGGAATTCAAACAAATAGCCAGCACGTGTAGACACAAAGTCAGAACAGCTAAAGCACAGAATGAACTCAGGCTTGCTAAAGAGGTTAAAAGCAACAAAAAAGGCTTTTATGGGTATGTTCGTAGCAAAAGGAAGAACAAAGAAACAGTGGGGTCACTCAGAGGAGAAGATGGTGAAATGCAAATAGGGGACACAGAAAGGGCTGAACTCCTCAATGCCTTCTTTGCCTCAGTCTTCTCCGATAAAGAAAACAATGCCCGACCTGAAGAATTTAAAGCAAATGATTCAGCAAAGGAAACACAGCCCAGAATAACTAAGGAGATAGTACAAGAATACTTGGCTAGTTTAGATGTATTCAAGTCTCCAGGGCCAGATGAACTGCATCCAAGAGTATTAAAAGAACTGGCAGATGTGATCTCAGAACCACTGGCAGTCATCTCTGAGAATTCCTGGAGAACAGGCGAAGTCCCGGCAGACTGGAGGAGGGCAAATGTTGTCCCTATTTTCAAAAAGGGGAAAAGAGAGGACCCAAATAATTACCGCCCAGTCAGTCTGACATCAATACCAGGGAAGATTCTGGAGCAGATCATTAAGCAAACAGTCTGTGAGCACCTAGAAAGGAATGCTGTGATCACCAATAGTCAGCATGGATTTCTGAAAAATAAGTCATGTCAGACTAACCTGATCTCGTTTTTTGACAGAATTACAAGCCTGGTAGATGAAGGGAACGCAGTGGATGTAGCCTACCTTGATTTCAGCAAGGCATTTGACAAGGTGCCTCATGATATTCTTGTAAAGAAGCTGGTAAAATGTGGTCTTGACTATGCTACCACTCAGTGGATTTGTAACTGGCTGACTGACCGAACCCAAAGGGTGCTCATCAATGGTTCCTCTTCATCCTGGAGAAGAGTGACTAGTGGGGTGCCACAGGGTTCTGTCTTGGGCCCGGTCTTATTCAACATCTTTATCAACGACTTGGATGATGGACTCAAGGGCATCCTGATCAAATTTGCAGATGACACCAAACTGGGAGGGGTGGCTAACACCCCAGAGGACAGGATCACACTTCAAAACGACCTTGACAGATTAGAGAACTGGGCCAAAACAAACAAGATGAACTTTAACAGGGAGAAATGTAAAGTATTGCACTTGGGCAAAAAAATGAGAGGCACAAATACAAGATGGGGACACCTGGCTTGAGAGCAGTACCTGTGAAAAGGATCTAGGAGTCTTGGTTGACCACAAACTTGACATGAGCCAACAGTGTGACGCGGCAGCTAAAAAGCCAATGCAATTCTGGGCTGCATCAATAGGAGTATAGCATCTAGATCAAGGGAAGTAATAGCGCCACTGTATTCTGCTCTGGTCAGACCTCACCTGGAGTACTGTGTCCAGTTCTGGGCACCACAGTTCAAGAAGGACACTGACAAACTGGAACGTGTCCAGAGGAGGGCAACCAAAATGGTCAAAGGCCTGGAAACGATGCCTTATGAGGAACGGCTAAGAGAGCTGGGCATGTTTAGCCTGGAGAAGAGGAGGTTAAGGGGTGATATGATAGCCATGTTCAAATATATAAAAGGATGTCACATAGAGGAGGGAGAAAGGTTGTTTTCTGCTGCTCCAGAGAAGCGGACACGGAGCAATGGATCCAAACTACAAGAAAGAAGATTCCACCTAAACATTAGGAAGAACTTCCTGGCAGTAAGAGCTGTTCGACAGTGGAATTTACTGCCAAGGAGTGTGGTGGAGTCTCCTTCTTTGGAGGTCTTTAAGCAGAGGCTTGACAACTATATGTCAGGAGTGCTCTGATGGTGTTTCCTGCTTGGCAGGGGGTTGGACTCGATGGCCCTTGTGGTCTCTTCCAACTCTATGATTCTATGAATGATGCTTTGGAAAGCATGGGTTTCCAGAGAAGTCTTGCAGACAGCTGCCTGTACCTGAAGGGGTCAGGAGAGACACAGGAGCTGGTCTTGGTGTTTGTGGATGACATCATACATGTGTCACAGACAGGGAAACAGGTGCAAGGTTTTGCCAAAGAGCTTGGGAAACATTTTAAGCTCAAAAACCTTGGTCCAGTAAAGGTTTACCTAGGAGTTCAGATAGACAGGTATGAGAACAGAAGTTTTTTGCTCCGTCAGAAAGGCAAGATTGAGCAGTTGCTTGAGAAGTTCAGGATGTCTGACTGTGCAGGGGTCAAAACGCCCATGGAGATGAGCTACGTGAAGGACAGTCAGCTTGGGGGTCGTTCTGAGTTCCAAAACCCTGGTTGTTCAAAGAGCGCTGGGAGTCTGTTTGTATCTCTCCCAGTGGAGCAGACCTGACATAGCGTTTGCTGTGAACCCGCTCAGCCGGGTGGCTACAAAGCCCAGTGTGAGTGCCTGGCTTGGCATCAAGAGAGTGCTAAGGTATTTGCAGGATACCAAAGATTTTTGCCTCACGTTGTCAGCTGATGGTGACGCACGGCTCACGTGCTGGACTGACAGCGATTGGGCAAATATTGGAGACAGAAAATTGGTGTCTGGGATGGTAGTGAAGTTTGGGGAATCTCTAGTTGGGTGGAAGTCCCAAAAGCAAAGTCTTATTGCGCTTTCCTCTACTGAAGCTGAGTTTGGTGTGTTGGCTGATTTGTGTAGGGAATTGGAGTTCTACCGGTGTTTGGTCCAAGAGATCTGTGGGGATTGTTGCTTGCCCATTACTGTTTGGGAAGACAATCAACCCTGTCTGAAGTTGGCAGAGTAAAGTCCAGAACCAAACATTTGGACATACATCTCCAGAATGTGTGTCAAAGTGTCCAGGCAGGCTTGGTGCGGCTGAAGTACTGTCCAAGCCAGGAGAACCTGGCAGATGGGTTCACTAAACCCTTGAGCTTCCAGCATCATGGGGAGTTCTGTGAAGGGTTGTTTTTGGGGTAAGTGGTTGTACTTACAGTTTCCCTCAGTATGCGGGACGAGAGGGTGTGTGAGGAAAATCAGAACTTGCAGGGTTAAACAGTTCTGTGCATCATCCCTGCCTACTGAGGTGCGGCTTGTTCACATACGGGAATGTTTCTTTGTGTGTGAGTTACTTTCGTTTCCCGCTGACAAACGGGAGGATGTTTGCTCTTTCTCCCGGATGATTTATTTTGCTATGCTGTACATAAATTAAAGCTTCTTAGCTTGCGTACGGACTGTTATTTATTGCACCCACACAGGGCACATACCGCTGTTGCGAAACTCTGCTTGGAGCCAGGGGGAAGTCCAAAGGCTCAGAGGCACAGGGAAGAGTGCCGGATGCCAGTCTAACACAACACACACTCCTTATTTCTTCCACACTTCAGTTGGGCAAGAAGAAAAGGTCACCTGCTTGAGGATATACGTGAGACACTGACAAAAATGCCCCCCTGGTCAAGTTCCGTTGCTGCGTTGCTGAATGACAAGAACATTCTTCCAATCCTTGCCCGCATACTAATCAAAGTCTCCCCAAATTAAATCCTATATATACCTATTGCGATGACACTGGCCCTCTTAACCAATCTCTTTCCACATTTCATGTGCTGAGATGGCTTCTTGCTGCTGTGAGTTTTTTGATTGGGTGTGAGATTTTCCTTCTGACTGAAACTCCCTCCATATTCTTGGCACTGAAATAGTTTCTGCCCTCGGTGACTAATGTTATGTTGATGGAAGTGTGTGCTTTTATTAAAGCCTTTCCTACATTTCAAGCACTGATCTGCTTTCACTCTGTATGAATTTCTTCATTGGAAGCTAGACTCCTCTTGGAAGGGAAGCTGTTTCCCAATTTCTAATGCGGTTCGTGCCCTGTATGAGTTTTTTGATGGACCATGAGACCTGCCCTCCTTCTGAAAGTCTTTCCACATTCTTGACATCGAAATGGTATCTCCCCGCTGTGAATTATTTGATGGGAATTGAGGCCTTCTTTCCAACTGAAGCTCTTTCCACATTCCAAGCACTGGTAAGGTCTCTCCCCAGTATGGATTCTTTGATGGGAAGTGAGATTGTGGTTGTGACTGAAGCTCTTTCCACATTCCAAGCACTTATATGGTCTCTCCCCTGTATGAATCATCTGATGGGAAGTGAGATGGTTGGTCGTCCTGAAGCTCTTCCCACATTCCAAACATTGATATGGTTTCTCCCCTGTATGAATTTTTTGATGGGAAGTGAGACTCGCCTTCTGGCTGAAACTCTGTCCACATTCCAAGCACTCATACGGTTTCTCTCCTGTATGAATTATTTGATGGGAAGTGAGCTGCACCCTCTGACCGAAGCTCTTTCCACATTCCAAGCACTCATAGGGTTTCTCCCCTGTATGAATTCTTTGATGGGATGTGAGATTGGCTCTGTGACTGAAGCTCTTTCCGCATTCCAAGCACTGATATGGTTTCTCCCCTGTATGAATTCTCTGATGGGATGTGAGACTTACCTTATGATTGAAGGTCTTTCCACATTCTTGACATTTAAACGGTTTCTCCCCTGTATGAATTCTTTGATGGTAAGTGAGATAGGAGTTCCGACTGAAGCTCTTTCCACATTCCAAGCACTGAAATGGTTTCTGCCCTGTATGAATTCTTTGGTGGAGCATGAGACCTTCCTTCCTTGTGAAGCTCTTTCCACATTCTGGACATCGAAATGGTATCTCCCCACTGTGAATTATTTGATGGGAAGTGAGCCTTGCCTTCTGGATGAAGCTCTGCCCACATTCTAAGCACTTATATGGTTTCTCTCCTGTATGAATCATTTGATGGGAAGTGAGATGGGAGCTGCGACTAAAGCTCTTTCCACACTCAAGGCATTGAAAAGGTTTCTCCCCTGTATGAATTATTTGGTGGGATGTGAGATTCACCCTCTGACTGAAACTCTTCCCACATTCCAAGCACTTATAGGGTTTCTCCCCACTATGAGTTCTTTGATGGGCAACGAATTTCGTGCTCTGACTGAACCTCTTTCCACACTCTTGGCATTTAAAGGGTTTCTCCGCACGATGAATTCTTTGATGTCGATGGAAGCTTGTGCTTCTATTAAAGTTCTTCCCACATTCCAAGCATTGATAGGGATTCTCCCCTGTATGAATTATTTGATGGGAATCAAGACTACTCTTCCACCTGAATCCCTTTCCACATTCCAAGCACTGATATGATTTCTCCTCACGGTGAATACTTTTATGTCGATGGAAGTTTGGTATTGTATTAAAGTTCTTACCGCATTCCAAGCAGTGATAAGGTTTCTCTCCAGTATGAATTCTTTGATGGGAAGTGAGAGTGGCACTACGAGTGAAGATCTTCCCACATTCTGAGCACTGATAGCCTTTCTTCCCACTGTGCTTTCTTCGATGGGAACGGGAGCTCTGACTGAAGCTCTCTCCACACTCCCAATCTTGATATGGCTTCTCCACTGTGTGGGTTATGTTGTGGTCTCCCCCATTCTTCATTTCCAATCCATCACCACCTACAATTAAGAGAGAAACTAATTAGATCCTCAGGAAGAAATGCGAGCCCCAATTATTAAACACTGCTAATGAATGTTTGTGAAAGAGAAAGAATGGAAGATGTGAGGTCTTCCTACAGAGATCATTGCCTTTGTTGAATAGCATTCACAGTATGATGGCCTGGGACTCGGGCTGCACTGGATCCTTCGCCTAGGCGGCATCTGAACCAAGTCTGGGGCCTGATTCTGAAGAGCCTGAGTCTGCACAGGTTCCCCTGCAACAAACACCAGCTGGGCCAAGTCAGGGGCCTGAGTCTGCCCTGGCTCCAGATGCGGGGATTATCTCGTTGCCTTCAGCTGGGCCATCACTTACAGCTGCTCCACTACCAGTTTGGTCAGTGGAGGCTGAGGCGGCCTCTGGGTCTAGTAACCCACCGACATCTCCTGAGCTGCAGAGACTAAGGTCTGAGAGAAGGAGAGACCTGAGTACTCGCAGGAGGAGTGCTCGCCTTTGGGCGAAACAGGGAGATGAGTCACCAGGGGATCAGGACTGGCCCCTACCCTGACAAAGATAAAAGGCTGTCGGACCCCGCCCCAGGTTGTGGGAGCAACATTGCTGTATGCTAGATCCTGCCTGAGATCCTGTACCTGTCCTTGCCTGGTTTCCTGCCTCGTGTCCTGCTTTGGCCTTGTTGGACTGACTCCCAGAGGAACCTTTGGATTCTGGATTGGACCTGGACCGTGTTTCACAGGTTACCCCTGGGCCCAGCATACACAGACATATTTATGGGAACCAGAGGTTCAAAAAGTCTGGCTCTTTTCTAGGACGGATTTTGTTTGCCACAATCATGAAATCCACTCCAACTCTGACATTGGTCTTCTCTTTAAAAAACGGGCAGAGGCTAAAACAAAAACCCAAAACCTGACAGAAATTACCTCAACTTCCCTAACAACTCTGTGTGTGAATGTTGCCTCCAAAATCCTGTGGAAAGGGTGACTGTCACTCCAGGAGGCAATTTCCCCCCATTAGGTCGAGTGAGAAAGAGAGAGATTTTCTGTGAGAGCAGCTGCTGCCTGTTTTATGCTGCTATGTGCCTCAGAATAAGTCCGTAAAGTCTCATATAGATAGAAGCACATGTCAGTCACTCTTAAGACTGAATGTGGCAGTATTATTTAGTGTTGAATTATTTTGGCTTTTTGTGTGTCGCTTATTATGTCTTGAATAACGAATGGATTAAATGTATAAATAATCAAAATCAATAAATAATACATATCTATAAACTGGATATAAGCACATGTAAACATGTTTTAGTATATCAAGTAATATAATGTGTTCTGCTTAAACTCTAAACAAAGAATCTTGCACAGTCTTTCCTAGGAGGGAAAAAGAGCTATATTTTTTTAAAGGGTCAAACAACCTGGGGCAACCTCCACGCATATAAATACAGTCATACCTCAGGTTACAGACGCTTCAGGTTGCATTTTTTTGGGTTGCGGACCGCCTAAACCCGGAAGTACAGGAATGGGTTACTTCTGGGTTTCGGCAGTCGCACATGTGCAGAAGCGCTACATCACGCTTTGTGCATGCGCAGAAGCACCGAATCACAACCCGCGCGTGCGCAAACGTGGGTTGCAAACGCTGTGGGTTGCAAATGTGCATCCCACACAGATCACGTTCGCAACCTGAGCGTCCGCTGTACTGCAGAAAAAGGGTTCTCCATCAGAAACTGATGTTAATATTTTGACCACTTGATGTTAGTGTTCTCTTAATTATTCTCTCAAAAACAATTGGCAGATTGAGAAGAAGAAAGATTTTTTTAGGATGGATAGTGGAAATTTTAAAGTGGAATAGGAGATGTGGGTGGTGCTGTGGGTTAAACCACAGAGCCTAGGGCTTGCCGATCAGAAGGTCGGCGGTTCGAATCCCTGCGACAGAGTGAGTTCCCGTTGCTCAGTCCCTGCTCCAGCCAACCTAGCAGTTCGAAAGCACATCAAAGTGCAAGTAGATAAATAGGTACCGCTCTGGCGGAAAGGTAAACGGCGTTTCCGTGCACTGCTCTGGTTTGCCACAAGCGGCTTAGTCATGCTGGCCACATGGCCTGGAAGCTGTACACCGACTCCCTCGGCCAGTAAAGCGAGATGAGCACCGCAACCCCAGAGTCGGCCACAACTGGACCTAACAGTCAGCGGTCCCTTTACCTTTAGGAGACTGAGAATAGTGTTAGACAGACTTGAAGTTATACTATGTATTGAGGCAGGTGTCTCACCACCAGAGAAGTTCTTGAAAATTTAAAGAAAGTTTATGGATTTACAAGATTTCATCGCAATTTAATAAGAAACTTATTTAGTCTAAAACATGAAGAAAAGAAAGATTGCCAGAGCCATGTGACAGAATTTTCACTATCATTGAAAATTAAAGCTGGCAGAATATTCTATGTCTGAAGAACAGAAAGTGAGCTATATTCTTGGATGGGGGGGGGCATTTTCATATCCAGAATGGATGGCAATCCAAATTTAACACTCTGAATTAACAGAGGAATGCATTGAAAGGAGAGAAGACTCTTCAATCAGATTCTTTAACTCAAGCTTCGTTTCTCAGAGACGTAACAAGAGTGTTCCTAAAAATATTATTTTCTACAACCATAATAAAGGCAAAGGTAAAGGACCTCTGGACGGTTAAGTCCAGTCAAAGGCGACTATGGGATTGCGGCGGTCTTCTGGCTTTCAGGCCCAGGGAGCCGGCGTTTGTCCAGGTCATGTGGCCAGCAGGACTAAACCTCTTCTGGCGCAACGGGACACCGTGACGGAAACGAGAGTGCATGGAAATGCCGTTTACCTTCCTGCTGCAGTGGTACCTATTTATCTACTTGCACTGGTGTGCTTTCCAACTGCTAGGTTGGCAGGAGCTGGAACAGAGCAATGGGAGCTCACCCCATGGTGGGGATTTGAACTGCCAACCTTCTGATTGGCAAGCCCAAGAGGCTCAGTGGTTTAAACCCCAATGCCAGCTGCGCTCTTGCAGCTGTAATAAGGAGGGACATACAGCCAAGTTTTGCAGAGCTCCAAAGGTGAAGAAATCTCAAAGTAAGCAATCAAACCGCAACCGAGCCAGAAGATACAGTTATCTCGTTCCACACGAAATGAGTCCGTCAGATGAGAAGTCAGAAGTGGGGCTGGTTGACTCAGGAGCATGTTCATGCGTCACAATGTAAAATTCATTGGTGGTATGTGAAATGTTAACTGTTGATGGTGAAATTTTAATAGCTAATGGTAAAACTGTAAAAATATGGGGTAAAGGTTCGGGATATTTAAACTGCAAATTGGGAAATGAAGTAAAGCAAATCAGAGTGTAAGATGTTCTTTATGTATCGCATATATAAGTTGTAATATTCTGAATCAAAGAACATCAAACGACCTGGGGCAACTTCCACGCATATAAATACGACACTGTGAAGCCTACATTTAAGAAGGCCTGGCTAGTTCAGACCAGCCTGGTCATTGTTTAAAAAGACATAACTGGAGGAAGAATATTCACAGAGAGAACAGTTGATACCCTTCCATTGAGCTGCATCAAAATATTGGCAGTTCATCACATAGAGATACGCATGGAATTTCAAAACAGATCTTATGATCCAGCAGGGAGCCTTACGGAGAGAGTCCACGATCCCACGATTCTCCTCCATGACTTCCTTATGCAGAGCTCTCTGGTCAGGATCCAGCAACGCCCATTCCTCGTCTGTGAAATGGACAGCGACATCTTCAAAGCACACCGGACCCTAAAAGAATGAGGGACATGTCCTCCTCTTAGACAACATAAAGATTGGTTTGTTGTGATCATGTTTGAATGGGATTGTTTTGTGCACATGTTAAATATGGATGCTTATTTTAACATCTAAGTGGAACTCTTTTATTGTGTATTTTAATGATGGGTATTCATCCTTGTGGCGCATATGGGGTGACAGTACCCTTGGCGGGGGACACATCCTGCTCCTTCTGGGGTGGTTTGTCCACCTTTGGTCCCCATCCTGCACTCCACTCTCACCTGCGGCTCCTAGAAGCTGTCAGGATGAGACAGCGGCCACAATCCTGGGAACGGCTTTGACTGACCGGCTAAACCAGGTGAGAAGAGCCAATGAGTCAGGGACTTCCCTGTCCATGCTAAGACATTTCAGCACATTGAGCAGAAGATACCAAAAGTAGGTCCCACAGTCAAGTTGGTGGTTGCTTCCTGTTCTTCAGAGGGAAGAGAGAAGCAGATGAGGTTCGTCCACCTGGGAAGGGAGCCCAACTAAGAGAAGGAAAACTTTGATCCTAAACCTCCTCCGCCTTGTGGGATATCTTTGGGAGAAGAAAAGGCTACGGAGTGAAGCCAACACAAATCTGGAATGGAGTCCCTAAGGCGACTGGATGGAGCCTTGTACACCTACTTCCAGCAACTCCTACAGCCCAGCTGATGCCAAACATCTTGCTCTGCTTTCCTTTGGACGACGTCAGAGAGGCCAAGAGTGAGGTTTCGTCGTCTGGGCAGCCCAGGACCTCCATCCACACTGCCCAGGCTTATGTCCCAAGGAGGCCAGTTTACTGGTCTCTGCAGCCACAGCAAAGGCTGTGATTCTCCAAGAGTTTGACGTCATCCCCGGAGGGGCACTCCATGGTCTCTCGAGACAGAATGAGGCCAACGACAGCAACTCACCTTTCTGCAAATAGGTGGGGCGCCAAAATATGCAGCTGAGTTAAATGAATCCCGGCACCTTTTTATGGTTTGTCAGCTGCGTCCAGAAAATTCAATACATGTATGGAAATCGTGAAGAGCCACTTTGACAGAAGCCAAGAAAAGGAGAGAGATGTGTTCGGCTCAAAGGCCCCCTGGCTGCCCCACCTCTGGGCCTCTTTCCCCACAAGTCTCCTTCCCCATACCTGATCTGGTTCCACAGCCGCTGCTTCCCCTTCGCCACCATGAAAAGATGGAGGAGGAGGTCTTGCTGCTATCGTTCTCTCACCTGCAAGAGACAAAGTTAACTGGAAACCTAGAGTGTATGCTGCTCTCTGAAGTTCAGTTGTACATCTCCAACTACAGATGACCCTCAGAAAAAAGTCTCACCTGCTAAGCGCATTTCAACACTTTAACCCATATTTTATTTGTGTAAAAATACTGCCTCCGCTCCTCTGGGCTCATACGTCTCCCGTCAAAACATGAAAATAACCCAATTATTAGCTTCAAAATCCACTAAATATTACAGTGAAAATTCTCCTTCTTCCTTACCCAGTGGCCTCTCTCTGGTGTCCATCAGAGTCCTCTCTGCCTCAAAGGAATCGGGGCCCATTTCTGCTAACAGATCCTTCCCCTGAAAAAGCAACAAGGATTCAAAAGAGAAAATGAGGGGTTAGAGAATAAAAACTGTAGTGGAATCAGATCTCATTCCTTGGGTACTACCCAAAAAAAGGATGGGTCAATACTAGAGATTTTGAGATGTTCAGAGCCCCTTGGGAGTTTCCAGAGAAAAGTCTCTCTCACCTGCTTTCTCTCCTCTGCCTGACTCTGGAGGAAACCTTCGGCCAGGGCCACTGCCTGGGAACTGGTCTCTGCTCCGCATTCCCTCACCCAGCTCTCCATCTCTGCCGGAAGGACAGCCAGGAACTGCTCCAAGATCACCAGGTCCAGCACCTCAGCTTTAGTATGTCTTTCTGGCTTCAGCCACTGATGGTCTAGTTGGCAGAACCGGCTGCAAACTTCTCGGGGTCCTTCAGCCTCCTGGCAGCAGAACTTCCTGACCTTCTGGCTCTGCACATCTGAGCAGAGAGTGTCCTCCTCACCCAGGATCTTCTGCATGGAGTTTTCCCAGAATCCCCCACTTCTCCAAGTTTGCATATCACAGTCTCCTCCCGCTTCAGGACCAGCTGAGTCTTGCTGATCCATCTGTGCTCTCAGGAAGCCTCCAAGAGATCAGAAGGAATCTTCTGCCATGTTCTGTCTGTGCAAATCAGAGGTGCCAGCAAGTCCTACAAAGCAAATGTGTTGCTCTGTTGTAAAATTGATACACCACCAGGAGAAGTAAAACATTCATTGAACAAGCCTTCATGCTCAGAAAATCGAACTACCGTAAAATCTCCAGGACCAGATGGTTTGACTTCTAGATACTACAGATCTTTGAAAGAATGGTTAATTCAACCTTTGAAAGAGGTCTGCAATGAAATAATGGAGGGGAAAAGAGCACCAGAGTCGTGGAAAGAAGCATATATTACACTTGTACCGAAAACAGAGACTGAAAAGACACAGCTTAAGAACTACCGCCCTATATCATTACTTAATGTGGATTACAAAATTTTTGCAGATATTTTGGCCAAGAGATTTAAAAAAGTGTTGATGGAAGAGATTCACAAAGACCAAGCGGGCTTTCTCCCAGGAAGACATCTGTCTGACAATTTGAGGAATATAATTGATATTCTGGAAAAACTAGAAGTGAACATAAACACTAAGCAGTTTTGATATTTGTGGACACGGAAAAAGCCTTTGACAACATTTCTTGGAGCTTTATGAAGAAGAATCTACAGGGCATGGGGGTAGGCCAAGGTTTTGAGAATGGTATAAGTGCAATTTATTCAGAACAAAAGGCTAAATTAATTGTAAATAATGTTGTGACGGAAGAACTTAAAATTGAAAAGGGACACGACAAGGTTGCCCAATTTCCCCACTTCTTTTTATTTCGGTCCTGGAGGTTTTGCTGAATATGATTAGAAGGGACCGGTTGGTTAAAGGTATACAGGTCGGAACCAAACAGTACAAACTGAGAGCATTTGCAGATGACTTAGTATTGACGTTACAGGAGCCAGAATCTAGTACCAAAAGGGTTTTAGAACTGATTCAAGAATTTGGTCAAGTGGCAGGATTTAAATTGAACAAGTCAAAAACTAAGGTTTTAGAGAAAAATTTAACACCGATTGAAAGAGAGAGGTTTCAGAATGAGACAGGTTTAACAGTGGTTAAGAAAATTAAATACCTGGGGATTAACATGACAGCAAAAAATGGGAATTTATTTAAAGACAACTATGAAAAATGTTGGGCTGAAGTGAAAAAATATTTAGAAATTTGGTCAAATTTGAAGCTTTCACTGCTAGGCCGTATCGCTGCGATAAAGATGAATGTATTGCCTAGAATGTTGTTTTTGTTTCAAACTTTGCAAATTGTGGACAGAATGGATTGTTTCAAGAGGTGGCAGAAAGATATTTCTAGATTTGTCTGGCAGGGCAAGAAGCCCAGAATAAAATTTAAAATACTAACGGATGCAAAGGAAAGAGGTGGATTTGCCCTGCCAGACCTCAAACTTTACTATGAATCAGCAGCTTTTTGCTGGTTGAAAGAATGGCTACTTCTTGAAAACACTGACATTTTGGACCTAGAAGGTTTTAACAATGTATTTGGATGGCATGCATATCTATGGTATGATAAGGTCAAAGCACATAAAGCATTTAAAAACCACATTGTCAGGAAAGCGCTGTTTAATGTTTGGATAAGATATAAGGATTTATTAGAAAACAAAACCCCAAGGTGGCTGTCACCAATGGAAGCGAAAGCCTTGAAAAAGCTCAATATGGAGGTCAAATGGCCGAAATATTGGGAAATTTTGGAACAAGATGGAGATAGACTGAAATTGCAGAGCTTTGAAAAACTAAACAACAAAGTGCAAGACTGGCTTCATTATTTTCAGATAATGGAGGCATTTAAAGTGGACAAGAAAATTGGCTTCCAGGTGGAAAAATCAAAATTAGAAACTGAACTGTTAGAACCCAAAACTAAGAATTTGTCAAAAATGTATAACTTGCTGCTGAAATGGAACACTCAGGATGAAACGGTAAAATCAGCTATGATTAAATGGGCACAAGACGTTGGACACAACATTATGATCGCTGACTGGGAACAGTTATGGACCACAGGTATGAAATTTACGGCATGTAATGCCTTAAGAGAGAATATTATGAAAATGATATACAGGTGGTACATAACTCCAGTCAAGCTTGCAAAAATCTATCATTTGCCCGATAATAAATGTTGGAAATGTAAAGAAACTGAAGGTACATTTTTCACCTTTGGTGGACGTGCCCAAAGATTAAGGCTTTCTGGGAAATGATATATAATGAATTAAAAAAGGTATTCAAATATACCTTCCCCAAGAAACCAGAGGCCTTTCTCCTGGGCATAGTCGGCCAAATGGTGGGAAAGAAGGATAGAACTTTCTTTATGTATGCGACAACAGCAGCAAGAATACTCATTGCAAAGTATTGGAAGACACAAGAGCTTCCCACACTGGAGGAATGGCAGATGAAACCGATGGACTATATGGAACTGGCGGAAATGACTGGTAGAATCCGTGACCAGGGAGAAGAGTCGGTGGAGGTAGATTGGAAGAAATTCAAAGACTATCTGCAGAAACACTGCAAAATTAAAGAATGTTAGAGTGATGTTCGATTGAAAATAAGTGGTTTCCAGCTGTACAGGATTCAAAGTTATAGATAGACTAAGATTAAGGATTAGGATTAAAGAAGTTTAAGGAAATGGAAATTTGGTTTTTAAGAGGTAAAATTTTAATGTTATATTATATTAAGATTAAAGATTGGGATTAAAAAAGTGGGAAAGAAATTGCTGGACAAACAATTTGAACTGGAATACAAAAGAGGGAGGTATGAGGAGGTCCAGAAAATAAGTAAATTTAAAAATGGAAATGAAAAGGTGATATTGTTTGTAACTGTTCTTTTTCTTTTTTGTCTTTTTTTTTGTTTTTTGTTTTTTGATTTATGTATTGTGCATTTTTGAATTGTGTATTTCTTTTTTATGTTTTTCTGTTTAATCTTTTATTGAAACCTTAATAAATATCATTAAAAAAAAAAAAGAAAATCGAACTACCGTAGTTTTCGCTCCATAACACGCATTTTTTTCCTCCTAGAAAGTAAGGGGAAATCTCTGTGCCTGTTATGGAGGTAATGCTTCCCTCCTCCGTGGCTCGCATAGCAGGAGAAGAGCCGCTGAGTGGGGAGGAGAGAGGGACAGAGAGCCTGCTTCTTTAAAGGAGCAAAGCGGGAGAGGAGAGGAGCCGCTTACATGAGTGTAAGCGGCTCCTGTCCGGTTGGTTCCTTTAAAGCAAGCAGGCTCTCTGTCCCTCTCTCCTCCCCACTCAGCTCGGTAATTTTCAGCTCGCTAAGCGGGGGGTGGGGAGGAGGAAGAGAAGCAGAGCCTGCTTGCTTTAAAGAAGCAAAGCGGGAGAGGAGACGAACCTTCTCCCCTTAAACCCCTCTTCTGCATTATTAGCAGCATCCTTCTCCACCCACCCCATGCGTGCTCCTTGTCCCTTGAGAGCTTTTCCTTCCCTCCCCACTTAAAACGTGGTTACAAAGCACAGATCCACATGGATCCTCAGGATTTTTGCACTGGGTCACCCCAAATTCACCATCAGATCACATAGCATGTCGATGGCTACAGTTTGCACCAAAAAAACCACGCACTCACTGTTGCCTGGGGCCGCAGTGGTGCAAAAACGTGGTTACAAACATGGATCCTCAGGATTTTTGCATTGGGCTACCCCAACTCACCGTCAGATCACATGTCTGTGGCCACAGCATGAAGCACAAAAATCATACACCCACTGTTTCGTTTAGAATGTTTTTTTTCTTGTTTTCCTCCTCTAAAAATTATGTGCGTGTTGTGGTCGGGTGCGTGTTATAGAGCGAAAAATACGGTAACTACTGGCCAGTTGCTAATCCCCCTTTCCTGAGCAAGGTTCTGGAGTGGGTGGTCAAGGACCAGATGAAGGCGCTCTTAGAGGAAACTGATTTCCTTGAAACATACAGGTCACCCTGTATGGTGACCTCTGTCAAGAAAGAGACAAGGGAAGCATGTCCCTCTTAATTCTCCTCAACCTCTCAGCGGCTTTTGATACCATCAACCGTGGCATCTTCCTGGAGCGCCTGTCCCAGTTAGGGGTGGGTGGCCCCCCTTTTCGGTGGTCCTGGTCCTACTGGGATGGGCGTTCCCAGAGGGCATTACTTGGGGAGTGCTTGTCAGCCCCATGGAGCCTTCAATGTGGGGTTCCTCAGGGCTTGATCCTATCCCCTATGCTGTTCAACATCTACATGAAACCTTGTGAAGAGGAGGGATACACCCCCTCCACTCTTTATTGAGAATACAGGGCTTTATCCGCAGCCTCCCCCCCCTCCCCCAGGGGGCAGAGCCCTGGCCCCCCCGCCCCCCCGATTTGGGCCTCCCCCCCTGCAGGATCTGACCAGCCCCCCCCCCTTCTCCCCACGGCGAGACTCACCCCGAGAGAGGGAGAGCGAGCAGCCCCTCGGCGGGCAGAAGGGGGGCCGGCCAGGGAGGGGCCTGGGCCCGGGAGGACCTGCCCCCCCACGACGCCACTTCCGGTCCTCTCTAGGAATCCAGCTCTGCTGCTTTTAACCCTTGGCAAGCCGAGCGCAACCTCCTCCTCCAAGGAAGGAGCCCGGGAGGAACCCCTCCCACCAGGGATGCTTCATTTGGGAGACCCCCCCCCCCCAAGAAGCAGGGGACCCCTCACGTAGGAGAGTCTGGAAGGGAGCCCGGGGGGCATCTAGTCCACCCCCTGCCAGGCAGGAAGCTCAGCTCCAGCCACCCCCACCCTCTGCAGAAACCTCCCCCCCATGTCCTCGTTGTTGCCTTCCAGGTCGCCTTGGGTCCAGAGAGGAGAGGGGAGGGAGGGAGAGGGGGCGCCGTCCTCCAGAGCAAGAGACCCCCCTCCCCAGTCCCGGCTGCCCCTCTCCTGGGCCAGAGCTGCCCGGGTCTCCCCTCTCATCCCCCGGGGGGGGTGCATTGGGAGAAGGGAGAATCTCAGGGCTGCCTGCCGTGACCCCCAAGCCAGGGAGCAGAGGGTCCTGCCCCCTTCCTCTCGGCCAAGCCAGGGAGGGGGACGAGTTTGCAGGAGCTCCGCTCCTCATTTGCATCTGTAACCTGAGGTACCACTGTATTCCAAACAGAAAGGAGAGAGACAACAACACACACACACACACACACACAGCCGCCACCTGCGCTCCATCTGCAAAGCTGTATCAGGCCATTTTAAAAAGTCCTGGCTTTCTCCAAATAATTCTGGGAACCGTAGTTTGTTCAGGATGCTGAGCGTTGCTAGGAGACCCCACCCCACCCCCACCTCCCTTTCCAGCCACAAAGCTGCACTTCCAGGAGGGCTTTACCAATCTTGCCAGGGAACTTTGGGAATTGTAGTTTGTGCAGAGGGTGCTGGTGGGAGAGGGTCTTCTAAGCACTCTCAACACCTGGCGGGCGAAAGAGTCTGCCTCTTCCTGCTCCCCAGGCTGGTTTCTTTTCCAGCCAGATGGGCAAGATATTATTATTATTATTATTATTCCCGCAGGGTGTCTCCTGCCTTGCCTTCCTTGGCTGGTGAGATCTGCAGGGTTTCCCCACTGTGTTCTCTGTTCGGTCTCAGAAGATCCTCTGAACACTCGAGGGCTTGGAGGTCTGAAGGGGCCCGTGTATCTCAATGTGACCTTACTGCTTTTGTTTGTTATTATAATGAAATAAGAAAATTAAGATCTTACATATATATAATAAATGTTCATAAATGTACCAACCAAGCGCACACATAGATGTGTGGACCACATGTCTGGAGCAGCACAGGAGGACCCGCCTGGAACCATTTTGACTCCCAAACTGACCTCAAATTTTCTCTGCAAGGCCGAAGGAAAATGGAAAAGCCTCCCCATTGTCTTTTCCTTCACAAATCCTTTCTTAAGGGTATGTCTGTGTGTGAATAGGGTGAGCCTGTGACCTGCTCAGGAACTAAGTATTTGTCATTACAAAAGACTGGCCAGGCTCCCCAGGGTATCCAATCAAGTAAGCATTAAGAGGTAACCTGCTAGACAGGAGATAAACAACACACTCCGATTTCTGTTGTAGACCACCTCTTCTGTGATGTAGATATGATGTTTCGGGGGGTGGGCTTGGACTCCAGGGCAGGCAATTTAAAACGTCTATATAAGGGCGAACACACCTTTGTTCGGGGCCCTCCTCCTTTCCTGCATGTGAGGGGAGCACCCTGTTGCAACAGTTCAATAAAGATCAGGCTTACGAGCTGCTTTGCTTCTCAATATTCTCTGGTTTGTTAACAGAGAAATCGAAGGGCTCCCTTGGACAAAAAGCAAGGACACCAACCAGGAAAATTGGAGCAAAACAGCAGCCAGTAGGCTTGGTCTTTATTGAAGACTGTCGCAACAGGACTCCCACCTGCCACCAGGTGGAACAAGATAGAAACCCCGAACAAAAGAGCCCCCAAACTTTTATTAGACACTGTTTGTCTTCATCTGGGTTTGTTATTTCTGGAATGGCTACCTGTCTGGCACTCAGGTATCAGGATGCCAGAAATTATCACTCGGGCAGAGGGGCTGCTGAGTAGCTGAGCTCACATGTCTATAGGAATTTCCTGGAGACATCTTAGGTCTGGTGTCCTGGAGACATCTTAGGTCTCAGATCCCTGGCTCCAGCTGGACTGGATTGTCACCAGGCGATTGCACTGAACTGTGCGAAGGCCACACGGAGCTACCACAGCACTGACTGCGACATGGTCACACCCTGAAGGCGAGCAAAGAGGACCTGTAGCCAATCTAAGGTTCTGCACTTTGGCAGGAAGAACCAGCTGCACCAATATAAGATGAGGGACACTGGTTTGCTGGTAGGGAAAAGGATCTAGGGATCTTAATGGACCACAAGCTTAACATGATCAACCGGAGAGTGATGCAGCAGCAGCAAAAAGTGCTAATGCTATTTCAGGCTGCAAAACAAAAGTGTCCAACGGGACATTAACACAATGAAATTCAAAACAGTAACAATTTATTGAACATTTATTCAAAATCCATTAAAAAATATTTATTTTTATTCCATTCTCTTCCAGTTGTTTTTCTTCTTGACTCGTGGAGTTACACAGGGAGTAGATCATATATCCTAAGGAACGGAAAAACCCAAAATTCCGTGAGATCTTTTGAGGCAAAATAATGTTAACAATTTTCAGATCTCTCTCTCTGTGTCCCCTGCCCTGCCCTGTCTTTTGCCAAAACAGAGGGGTCAATCCTGTGCCCAGATCCGCCCCCCTGAGGTGGTCCAGAGGAAAGAAGAGCAAGGCACAAGGCCCCAGCTTCGCTGTAGGAGTTGCCAGAAGGAGGCCTACAAAATGCCACCCAACCATCTTAGGGACTCTGCATCTGTGTAGGGTTTACTCTCAAGCCTTTTCGTCTCCTGAAACCATGCCACGAGGCAGCGGAGGTTTAGAAACAGAGTTCTCCTCGATGGGCTCCCTTACGGGGGGATGAGCCCCATCAGCCCCTCGCTTCCCTCTACAGCACGTGCACAAACAGCTTCCTCTGGATCTCGTCTGCTCCATCTGCCGGAGCCTGTCTTCTGACGCAGGGGAAAGTCCCTCACTCACCGAAGGTTTGAGACCCATTGGCTCCCCTCCCCTGGTTCCCCGGCCTCTTCTCCCTCTGACTGCTTCTCCTTGTCCCCCCTCCACTCCCTGGGCTCTGAAACGTCTTCCCTTCCTGGTTCCTGCTTCCTCCCACCATTCCTCTGTGCCCAACCTGTCCATGACATCGTTCCACCCCTTGGCCTCTGTCCCCACAAGGCTGCTTCCCCCTACCTGATCTGGTCCCACAGCCACTGCTTCCCTTCTGCCCCCATGAAAAGATGGATAAGGAGGTCTTGCCGGCATCATTCTGTCACCTGCAAGAGAAAAAAGGTAAGCAGGACGCCAGCAGTACCTGCTTCTCTCACAGGTGAAACAGGGCATCTCTAACTACAGGTGGGCTTTGGAGAAAGTCTTACCTGCTGAGTGCATTTGGATGTTGGCCTCTCTCTGGCGTTCAGCGGAGCCCGAGGTCCGCACTACCTATAAATCCTCAATGATGATGTCATCTGGATGGAAGAGAATGAGAATGAGAAGAGAATGAAAATGAGATTTTCCCACGGGCCTTTAGTCAAAGGTCGCTGTCTCCAAGGTGTGGGGCTTACCTTCTTTCGGCTTCAGGCAGAAGCAAGCCAGATCCGGCCGAACTACTGTCATCTGCAGAGGAAAGAGAAATTGGGGTCAGATGGGAGCAAGAGAGCACAGAAGCAGCGCCAAGTCAGGAAGGACGGGTCTTCCTCTGTCTTGGGCCCAGTCCCTTGTTCCAGAGGACCTCCCTGGGCCCTGCAGCCTCCTGGGCAGAGGTGGAAGGGCAGCAGCAGGAAAGGGGGCAGGAAAAGCCTCTGGCCTCATCCTGGCCCCCAGGGACACACCCCGCATCATCTGCGCTAAAGATCACTTGGGGATGTGATCTTGGGGGGGATGGAAGTAACCAAAGAAATGAATAGCAGAAGGCAAGGTACTTACTCTGAGGTTGGGGAATTTCCGGGCAACGGCCAGCAGCAAGGAAATTCTTGCTTGCTGCTGCTTCTTCTTGAGCCTCCCCACTTTCCCCCAGGGCGTATCCTCGGAGGTCCAGAAGGAGGAAAGAGCGTCTCAGAGTCAGGGGCCAGTCTGGGCCAAAGCGGCCCCCACTGCCCCCACCACGGAGTCCCTGGCACTTCTGGACCCTGAGGGTTTGCCAGCTTTGGTCTTGGACCAAATTGGGGGCCAAAGAGGCTCTGTGCCCCAGAAATGGGGCAGTCCGTTGGGTAAGGGATGGGGGGGGACCACCCTAAAACCACCCCTGATGCCATCGGGACACTTACGCTGAGAAGGTGGAGGAGGGTGCCAGGGTTGGGGGCTTCCATAAGGAGACTCCCCAGCAGGAGCCGGAAGTGCCTCTTCAGTTCCTGCGGGAAAAGAGAGAAGAGAGTGTGAATGCTGGGTTGGATTCTGCAAGTGTGACGAAGAAGAAGAAAGAGCCTGTGAAGGGAAGTCAAAACCAAGGACATACTTCTCTCTCCTCCTCCTCCTCCTCCTCCTCCTTGGCGGTCCCTTTCAGCACGGCCTCCAAGGTCCTGTGCAGGATCGCACTGATCATATCGCAGCTGAATTTGGGCCTCATCCTGCTGCAGAGATGAAAGGGAGGGGGTTAGAGTCTCCCTTGCCCCTTCTCCCTCCCGCCTGCTCTTTCCCCCTGGAGTTCTGCCCCCCACCCACAACCCCGTCCACAGACCCCACTCACCTTAGCTGGAGGAGGGCCTCCAAGGCAAGGGCCAGGGTCAGGGGGCGATCTCTGAAGTGCCCCAAGATGTCCTGGAAGAGAACAGAGGAGGAAAATCAGCTCCGACCCCAAACACCAGGCTTGGCTTTGCAGGGGAATGGCAACCCCATGGCCTAAGCCGGCAGGGTCCTCCTCTCCGCAGATGCACAGCCCCTTCCCCCACACCCCCCACCACTCACCAGAATGGCTTGGGCCGTCTCCTGCTTGGAGCACTTCAGGGATCGGGGCCCCCTGAGCTCAGCTGCCTGGCAGCTCTTGATGGCCCCCAGGAGGCAGAGCTGTTCATCCTCCAGCAGCTGAAATGCAAAAGTCAGGCTGTCAGTTCCTCGTGAGGGGAGGGCTTCTCCGCATCTGAGAGTGCAGGGGGGGGCAAAGAGCCCAAGGGGGTAGCGGGGGGCAGGTCTGAGGGATTCAGTCCCTGCTCTTGTTTTCTCCAATACTCACCCCCTGGGGCTGGGATGCGGAACTGCAGCAGAACTGCAAACAGAAGGACATGGGAAGAGGTGAGTCCTCTTTTGCATCCTTGGACTAGTTGCCCCCCATGCCCATCCCTGCCCTCCTCTGTCCAAAAAAGGAGGGCCACTGGCTCACCTGGCGCCAGGGGCTGCTCTGTGTCTGGCTGGGGGGCCACCCTGTGGCAGCACGCCTTAAGCACCTGATCCTAGAAGAGATGAGCGGAAAGAGTGTCTCAGATGCAGGCAGCCCCAATTCTTGGGGGGTGTTTGTGTGTGAGGAGGGGCATCTGGAGAAAACAGTGAACCACTGCCGAATTGGCAGAACAGAAATACGTATGTGGAGCCTAATTGATCCTTGCCGGCCCATCATGACCAATTCCTTCCATCTCTCTGCAGTTCAGTGACCTGAAGGGGCATCATCAGAGCCTGAAAGAGGCAGCCCAGAGCATGAAGGGCTGGCAGAGAGAGAAAGGAGGTCCCAAGTGCTCTGGGTTCAAGAGCTACGGTCCCCTCATTCATGCAGTCAGTGGCGTAGCGTGGGTTGTCAGCACCCGGGGCAAGGCAAGTAATTTGCGCCCCCTAACCCGTGGATTTGCGCCCCCAACCCGTGGATTTGCGCCCCCTAACCCGTGGATTTGCGCCCCCTAACCCTAACCCCCAGATGTTGCGCCCGGTGCAGCCGGCCCCCCCTGCACCCCCCACGCTACGCCACTGCATGCAGTCGAGCAGTGTATAAATTTCATGAAGCAAATGAAATGAATAGGGAGAGGGGAGAGCTTTGGGTCATTCTTAACATTATTACTGGAATTTTTGGCAAGGGGGGTGGGGTTTTTCCCCCTCCAGCAGGCACCATACCCCCCTCCAACTGCACCCCAAATCAACACCTTCACTTCTGCAAATGTCCCCACAAAACACGTCCTGACACAGTCCTTTCCTTTTTCTATTCCAAAGGCTCCCATAAATAAGGGTAGAACATTTGCCCTAAGGGAGGCTGAGCCTTTCACTCAACCAATCCGCTCAGACTATCCAAAGAACTGTCCAAGAGCAACCAGTGAGTGCCACGAAACAGTGCCCTCCAGCACAAAGCACTGAGGGCACAAGGAGAAGGGGACGACAGAGGACGAGATGGTGGGACAGTGTTCTCGATGCTACCAACATGAGTTTGACCAAACTGCGGGAGGCAGTGGAAGACAGGAGTGCCTGGTGTGCTCTGGTCCAGGGGGTCACGAAGAGTCGGACATGACAAAACAACTAAACAACAACAACAGAACAAAGCACACAGGCACTGCAGCTGCCGACCAGCCGTGGCCTCTGCTCTACAAGTAGGATTTCCCACTGGGAAAAGGGGAAAGTCAGAACCAGCCATGAAAACCATTCTTGGTCCATTGAAACTAGTCTTTTAGGTTTGTCTAGGCTCTTGAACTACCAACCCAGCTGTACACTTGTGAAACATGGACCACTTATAAACGCCATCTCCAACTCCTTGAAAGATTCCATCAATGGTGTCTCTGAAAAATGTGACACACCACTTGGGAAGGCAGGCAAACTAATACCAGTGTCCTGGAAGAGGCAAAGATCACCAGTGTTGAAGCAATGATTCTTCAACACCAATTTCGTTGGACTGGTCATGTGGTTCGGATGCCTGATTATCGTCTTCCAAAGCAACTACTCTATTCCAAACTTAAAAATGGAAGGTGTAATGCTGGTGGTCAACAAAAGAGGTTTAAAGACTCTCTCAAGGCCAATCTAAAAACACGTTGTATAAACACCAATGGCTGGGAAACACTGGCCTGCAAGCGCTCCAATAGGAGAACAGCCTTGACCAAAGGTGTCATGGGCTTTGAAGACACTTGAACACAGGACGCAAGGGAGAAACGAGCTAAGAGGAAGGCACGCTTGGCAAACCCTGTGATCAACTCCTGCCCAGAAAACTATGTCCCCACTGTGGAAGGACACGTGGATCCAGAATTAGCCTCCAGTCACTTACGGTTAAAACTCACTCTTCATGGAAGTCAATCTTACTCGGCTACAAGTGATAGAAGAAGAAGAAGAAGAAGAAGAAGAAGAAGAAGAAGATATCTGGTCGTAGCACTCGCCTACTCTTGCAGCGGGAAAACCTCCAAATATTCATATAAAAGCAATCCAACACTGGATTGACACTGTTCCAATGCTGTTCTGCTCAGAAGGAAGAGGGCCACCAGAGGAGCCACTTGGGACATGGCTAGGGGCAGCCATCATCCCTGAAGCATGAGACCACGTACACAGCAACCCTTCTGCCTGGGTGATAATCACTGCCCTCCTGGTCTCTGAGTGCCAGACAGGTAGCCATCTCAAGGACACAAGTGGATCTGGGAGTGGCTGCCGGGACCACATAACACCGGTCCTGAGATATCTGCATTGGCTCCCAGTACGTTTCCGAGCACAATTCAAGGTGTTGGTGCTGACCTTTCAAGCCCTAAACGGCCTCGGTCCTGTATACCTGAAGGAGCGTCTCCACCCCCATTGTTCTGCCCAGACACTGAGGTCCAGCGCCAAGGGCCTTCTGGCAGTTCCCTCATTGTGAGAAGTGAGGTTACAGGGAACCAGGCAGAGGGCCTTCTTGGTAGTGGCACCCGCCCTGTGGAACGCCCTCCCTTCAGATGTGAAGGAAATAAGCAGCTATCTTCTTTTTAAAAGACATCTGAAGGCTGTCTTTTTAAAAGACATCTGAAGGGAAGTTTTTAATATTTAATGCTGTATTGTTTTTAACACTTGATTAGAAGCCGCCCAGAGTGGCTGGGGAAACTCAGCCAGATGGGCGGGGTATAAATAATAAATTATTATTATTATTATTATTATTATTATTATTATTATTCAACCTACATAGATTGGGGACTTGGCCAGGACAAGAGCGGGGACTCAACTTGGCTGGGAAACAGGAACATGTATATATTTTCCTTTGTTTTACTTAATAGGTGTAACGTGGAGGTCAAGGGAGGGACAGGGACAAACCTGATACTCAGGTGTCCCCCAGAAAAACCTCCCAGTTTGTGACACCCTCCCCCCCCCCCGGGAGATGAAGAGAAAGGGATGCTACTTACAGCCTGCCCATGTTGTCAACGAAAAGATCCCACCCTCCTATCTAAAGTAACTAACTATCTAAAATGCCCACCCAAGCCTCAATCTGACCCCAACCCCTGCCCTAAGTCTATACCTAACCCCCGCCCTAATCCTACACTTAACCCTAACTACTCTATGTAAAAAAATTAAAATATACAAAATATATATGGAATATGCACAGATGTGCACAAAAAACAAAAATATTAAAATAAAGAACAAAAATAAAAGAAATAAAAGTGTTAAAAGAAAAGAATAAAAGAAAATCAAAATAAATCAAATCAAATAAATAAATAAAATAAAAGTAATAAATGAAATCAAAATCAAAAAAAGAAAACGAGAAAAGAACAAAGCACTAATCCTCCGCTTACTCTCCATCAAACACTGACACCACCTCTCTCCTCTGACCTCTCCTCACTAACCCACAATGGCCGCCCGCAAGTCAGTGGCTTTTAAAGGAGAAGCAAGAGATGTCACAAAGGAGGGCGGGTCCTTGTCACCGTGGCAACCCCCCCACCAGGACCTGGCCCCACCTGAGAGGTGATGCTCCTCTGTCAGAACTCAGAAGCACCTGCTGTTCCGCCTGCAGAATGCTCTGATCCCAAACTCTCTAGCCCCACGACTGGCTCTGCCACCATAAATCCTTTTGTTTCTAAGGTGCTTGGTGGCTCTCTTTTTCTATGTTTGCTGCAGGGGGCTTAATAATATCACTACCCTTCTGCACTCGGTGAATTAAGCAGGGGCATGGATTTGCAAGCATTTGTAACTTCTGCCACATAATTTTCAGGTGGAACTCAAATCGGGAGAGAAAAGGGTATATGCAGCCTGCTCTTTCCGTGTGGGTGGCACATTTCATGGTGCATGCAAGTTTAATGGTGGGCCATAACATTAAAGGGACGCGGGTGGCGCTGTGGGTTAAACCACAGAGCCTAGGACTTGCTGATCAGAAGGTTGGTGGTTCGAATCCCTGTGACGGGGTGAGCTCCCGTTGCTCAGTCCCTGCTCCTGCCAACCTAGCAGTTCGAAAGCACGTCAAAGAGCAAGTAGATCAATAGGTACCACTCTGGCGGGAAGATAAACGGCGTTTTGTGTTGCAGGCTGTGCCCATGGCCATGATATTTGATCCGATGGTGACTTTGGGCTGATCTAGTGCAAAAATCACGAAGATCCATGAGGATCCGTGTTTTTTAACCATGTTTTTGTGACACTGCGGTACCACAAAACAGTGGATGTGTGATTTTTTTGGTTCTGCCTACAGACAAATCCACGAGGATCCGTGTAGATCTGCCTTTTACCCAGACCGTTTTATACCCTAAACCCCTCCCTCCCCGGAGACAAAGCGGCCCCCCCACTCCGATGCCCGGCCCCAGAAAGACCGATTGGGGGACGCCTCCTTTTGGGGGATGAGTCCAGGGGTCACTCTGCAGCCCTTGTCCCCCAGGACCCCTCCTCCCCCCCGACAGGGCAAAAGATGAAGAGGGGACTCCCTAATCTGGGGGGTCCCCCATGCAGAAGCTGAGCAGGCCCCGCCTTCTCCCCAAAGCACCCCAAGAGAGGATCCCAGGAGGGAAACTGAGGCAGCAGGCAGAGGAGGGGGGGGAAAGACCCCCAGCCCCACCCCTGGCAGGAAGGGACCTGGGAGGGAGGGGCTTCTGCCCCCTTATTTCCTGGCCTTTCTAGGAATGCAGCTCAGTGCCTTTTAACCCTTGGCGTGCCGAGCGCAGCTGACTCTGCCCTGTCTTCTCTCCGCGTGATCTCGATCTTAAGCAGGAAGAAGCCAACTCAAAGATGCTTAACTTGGGGCGGGGCGGGGGGGGGACCCCTTGCCCTTCCGAGCTGCTCTGCGCCTCGGCTAGAAAAAACGAGGAGCAGGAAACCCCCTCCTAGAATGAACAGCTGTTGAAAAAAGGATCTGGTCCCGTTTCTGGCCAAAGGGAGAGAAGTTCACAGCGCCGGCGGGGGGGGGGGGGGGGGGAGACCTCTCTGGGGGGCTCGCCTGGTTCCCCCTGGACGGGAGGGAGAGAGAGAGAAAGCGGGTGCCCTTGGTTCGCAAAGGGTTAAAAGGGAACGGAGCTACCAGGGGGGGGGGTCCTCAGAGCAGAAGCCCCCCCCCCCTTGTCTCTGCTCTGCCAAGGATGCGCACAAGGTCCTGGGACTCGGTGAGCCTCTTCTGTTTCCTGCCATGGAGTGCCTTGGGGAGAAGGGGGGGGTCCCAGGACTGTAAAGGAGGATGCTGGGGGGGGGGCAGGTTCAACTTATGCATGGGGAGCCCTCCAAGTCGAGGTGCAGAGGGTGTTAAGCATAATGGTTTAATTTGCTGAAATGGGAATGTTGACTTACGTTAAATTACCTTTCCTCTGGCCCAGTTGGCCCTCGGGGGATTGGGCAGGTAAGAATCTGGCCCTTAGAACAAGGAATTGGGGACGCCACCCCACTCATCTGTCGGCAGCACTTTGGAGGTTCCTGGTCTGCCCCGCAGAGGACATTAAGGTCGTTGAATAATCATAATTTAGAGGCCCCGGGCCCGAAGGAAGTCAGACTATCCTCCACCAGGGCCAGGGCCTTCTCAGTGGTGGCTCCGACCTGGTGGAATGCTCTGTCCCAGGAGACTAGGGCCCTGCAGGATTTAACCTCCCTTCGCCCAGCCTCTAAGACAGAGCTATTTCACCTGGCTTTCAACTTGAACTTAGCCTGATCTTTTATTCCCTTCCTTCCCTCCCCCTCCCCTTTTTATGAAGATTCCCTGCTCTGGGATCCCACAGCTCATTCTCCCCTGGTCTCCTCGCTGGCCCAAATAGGACTAATTTAGCCAGCTAGCCCTGGTGATCATCTAATGTTTATTGGATGGATTTCCCCCCCTAAATTGATTTTTGAATTCTGAATTTATTGTCATTCACGTTTTATACTGTATTTTATGCTTGTTTTTTTGTTGCATCAATTAAGTGTTTTAAATTTGTTGTTAGCCACCCTGAGCCCGGTTTTCTGAACCGGGAAGGGCGGGGTATAAATAAAAAAATATTATTATTATTATGCTGCAAAATGAAACTGAAGCAGGGAAGAAACAGGCAGTCCAGCCCTGATTCCTAGTAAGTCTTATCCACACATGCTCAGGTAACCTCTTTCTTCTAGTGCACGCATGTCCCAACAGGTAGATCATGATCTATCGGTAGATCACTGGAGGTCTGTGATGGATCACTGGCTCCCCACAAAGAACCTCAACAAATTTGCCTCAACAAAAATTTGCCCCAAATTTGCCCCAACAAAAAAGTGGGTAGATCGCTGCCAGTTTTTAACTGTGTGTAGATCGCAGTCCCTTGGGAGTTGGCCACCCCTGTTTAGCGGTTCTTCAGTTTTATCACAGAATTATGGATTTGCTTTGTAGGATTTGTGAGCACCTCTAAATCAGACAGACAGACAGAACGTGGCAGAAGATTCCTTCTGATTCCTTCTGATCTCTTGGAGGCTTTCTGAGAGCACAGATGGATGAGCAAGACTCAGCTGGCCCTGGAGCAGGAAGAGGCCATGCCATGGAAACGGGGAGCAGTGGGGGATTCTGGGAAAACTCCACGCAGAAGATCCTGGGTGAGGAGGACACTCTCCGCTCAGAGGTGCAGAGCCAGCCGTTCAGGCAGTTCTGCTACCAGGAGGCCAAAGGACCCCGAGAGGTTTGCAGCCGACTCTACTGCCTGGCCCATCAATGGCTGAAGCCAGAAAGGCACACGAAAGCTGAGATGCTGGACCTGGTGATCTTGGAGCAGTTCCTGGCTGTCCTTCCTCCGGAGATGGAGAGCTGGGTGAGGGAATGTGGAGCTGAGACCAGTTCCCAGGCGGTGGCCCTGGCCGAAGGTTTCCTCCTGAGTCAGGCAGAGGAGAGAAAGCAGGTGAGAGAGACTTTCCTCTGGAAACTCCCAAGGGGCTCCACACCAGAGGGAGAGTATCCCAAAATGCTCTACTAAGGGCCCCTTTTTTTGGAATGCATCCAAGGAATGAGATCTGATACCTGCCAAGTTTTTGCTTCTGTCATTCTTTTTCTGATCCTTCTCCCCATTCCCTGTTTTGAATCCTTGTTGCTCTTTCAGATAAAGAATCTGTTAGCAGAAATGGACATTGATTCCTGTGAGGCAGAGAAGACTCCGATGGACACCAGAGAGAAGCCACTGGGTAAGTAGGGAGTTATTTCTCTCTTTGATCACATTCTGTTGATTTTGAAAGTAATTTGTGGGTTATTTTCATCTTTTCGTAGGGGAGACACTTGGGGCCAAGAGCCCAGGGGAGGAGAGGTGTGTTTTTACACAATTAAAATATGAAATGGGTAAAATACAGTGGTGCCTCGCAAGACGAAATTAATTCGTTCCGTGAGTTTTGTCGTCTTGCGATATTTTTCGTCTTGCAAAGCACGGTGTCGGGAAAGTTTTGGAAAAGCTTCAAAAATCACCAAAGTCTTTAAAAACTTCAAAAAAGGCTACCACACCGCGTTCTATGAGTTGCTCCTCGAAGTCAAGTCGCAACTGTATTAACGGTGTTAAGAAAAGGAAACAAACTTGCAAGACGTTTCCGTCTTGCGAAGCAAGCCCATAGGGAAAATCGTCTTGCGAAGCAGCTCAAAAAACAAAAAACCCTTTCGTCTAGCGAGTTTTTTGTCTTGCGAGGCATTCGTCTTGCGAGGTACCACTGTATCAGAAGGGAATAAGCAAGGGACGCTTTCACAAAGGCCCGTCTATATTTAGAGATGCACTCCTGAACCTCAGAGAGAAGCAGGAATTCATGGCTTCCCACTTCCCTTTGTCTCTGGCAGGTGACAGGATGATGCCCACAAGACCTCCTCATCTGTTTTTTCATGGTGGCGAAGAGGAAGCAGCGGCTATGGAAGCAGATCAGGTAGGGGGCAGGAGGCTTGTGGGGAGAGAGGCTGAGGAGTGGGGCAGCCAAGGTGACTCCTTCCACCTCCTGCTTTCTGTCAAAGGTGCCCTGAAAAAAGGTGGCAAATGACATTATGTGCTGAGAATAAGGTCTAAACCACTGAGCCAAGGTTTGCCGATCAGAAGGTCGGCGATTCAAATCCCCGCGATGGGGTGAGCTCCCGTTGCTCAGTCCCTGCTCCTGCCAACCTAGCAGTTTGAAAGCACGTCAAAGTGCAAGTAGATAAATAGGTACCGCTCCGGCGGGAAGGTAAACGGCGTTTCTGTGCACTGCTCTGGTTCGCCAGAAGTGGCTTAGTCATGCTGGCCACATGACCCAGAAACTGTACACCGGCTCCCTCGGCCAATAAAGTGAGATGAGCGCCACGACTGGACCTAATATTTAATATTTGTGATGGCCTGGGACTTGGGCTCGGACTCGGATCCAGAAGAGTCTCAGTCTGCACTGCATCCTTTGCCTCAGACGGCATCTGAACCAAGTCTGGGGCCTGATCCTGAAGAGTCCCAGTCTGCACAGGTTCCCCTGCAACAAGCACCAGCTGGGCCGAGTCAGGGGCCTGAGCCTGCCCTGGCTCCAGATGTGGGGATGACCTCATTGCCTTCAGCCGGACCATCGCTTACAGCTGCTCCACTGCTGGTCTGGTCAGGAGAGGCTGAGGCGGCCTCTGGGTCTAGTAACCCACTGACGTCTCCCGAGCTACAGAGACTGAGGTCTGAGAGAAGGAGAGACCTGAGTACTCGCAGGAGGAGTGCTCGCCTTTGGGCGAAACAGGGAGGTGAGTCACCGGGGAATCAGGACTGGCCCCTACCCTGACAAAGATAAAAGGCTGTCGGACCCCGCCCCAGGTTGCGGGAGCAACATTGGTGTATGCTAGATCCTGCCTGAGATCCTGTACCTGACCCTGCCTGGTTTCCTGCCTTGGCCCTGTCGGACTGACTCCTCGTGGAAACCTTGGATTCGGGATCGGACCTGGACTGCGTTTCTCGGGTTAACCCCCAGGGCCCAGCACACAAATTGATAAACCATAAAAAACAGCCAGCCTTCAGCTAATCAGGCTCATTAGCTGCAGAAGGGGGCTCCCCACATCTCCCTTCCTCCCAACGCTCTCTGGCGTTGGAAAAGTGCACGGGGAAATGAGAGAGGGGATTTTCCCATCTGTCAAGTGGGAATGTTTGCATAGACAGAATGATTCGAGGAACACAACGTTCTGCTCATTTATACCAAGATTAATATACAAAATCAAAATACAGAATAATTGGCAGGGAAGATTTCCCAGTAAATTTTAAAAAGGAAATTGAAAAAAAGAAACAAAAGAGAATGAAATATTGAAAACAAAGGAATGGGTGGGGGAAATGAGGAGTAAAAAAACAAAAAAGGGAAGCTCTAATGCAGCGGTTCTCCACCTGTGGGTCCCCAGATGTTGTTGGACTACAACTCCCCATCACCCCTGAGCTCTGGCCTTGCTAGCTAGGGGTGATGGGAGTTGTAGTTCAACAACATCTGGGGACCCACAGGTTGCGAAAGGCTGCTCTAACGGGAAGTAAAATAACTTGGTTTAACTGTATACAATTGGAGGAATGGACAAAGAAATTGGTAAGGGAAAATAAGGAATGTCGAGAATATACAAAATTCAAAAAGGTGATTATAAAAAAGGAAAGATGAAGAAAAATATAAAAGGGGAAACCAGTGAAATTTACAAAATAGTGGTAGAATCGGAAGATCAGCAAGATCAACTAAAAGGGGTGTGCGAAAAGGAGTTAACAGGTCAGATAAATAGTCAGAGCTTGGGGAAAACATGGGAGAAACATCCTCTGAAAAGGATATCTATAAGAAAATAACTATACTGTAAGGTAGTATGGAGGTGGTAGTAACAGCAGTAAGACTAAATCAAATAGACAACAAACATTTGGTGTTAAGTTGGAGGGGATGTCAGGAAACTGGGACTTACCTTCAGATGTGGTGGGTCTGTAAATGTGTACAAAATGTTTGGCAAAGGATGTTGAAGGAGATAAGAGAAATGACAGGGTTAAGGCAGAATGAAAGTCCAGAAATAGCATTGATATCAATGTACGATAAGGTTAAATGTATGCAAGCTATGAAGGACTTAATTACAAATTTGTTGCAAGAATTATCATAGCTAGGAAATTGGGGGGGGAACAAGGTGGATTTCAAATAGAAGAATGGTACAGTGGTACCTCTGGTTACATACTTAATTCATTCCAGAGGTCCGTTCCTAACCTGAAACTGTTCTTAACCTAAAGCACCACTTTAGCTAATGGGGCCTCCCACTGCTGCCGTGCCGCCGGAGCACGATTTCTGTTCTCATCCTGAAGCAACGTTCTTAACCCGAGGTACTATTTATGGGATAGCAGAGTCTGTAACCTGAAGCATATGTAACCTGAAGCGTATGTAACCCAAGGTACCACTGTATAAAGAAGTGTGGGATATAGCAATTAATGGTAAATTAATGTGTGCTTATCACAGTAAGCAGGGGAATGTGGAAGAGAATTTATTTTGAGAAAATATAGAAGTATTTGTGGAAATTGTATTATGATAAATAATGGTATCGGGGCGGGGTGCAAATTTTGATTTGTATTATTATTACTTTGTTTAAAAATCACAATAAATAAAAAAATCACAATAAAATACACAACAATTCCCTCTTTCTTTTAGGGTCCGGTGTGCTTTGATGATGTCACCGTTTGTTTCACGGACGAGGAGTGGGCGTTGCTGGATCCTGACCAGAGAGCTCTGCATGGGGAGGTCATGGAGGGGAATCGTGGGATCCTGGACTCCCTTGGTAAGGCTCCCTGCTGGGTCATAATATCTGTTTTGAAATTCTAAGCGTATCTGTATCTGATTAAACACCAATATTTTGATGGAGCTCAACAGGACAACCTACAGACCTGGAATTCTCCCACCCCCATGGAGAGCTATTGTCTGTTTCATCTGCGAATATTGTTCCTCCAGTTACAGCTTTTTCAACCACGATCAGCCTTGTCTGAACTCACCGTGCCGTTTTAAATGTAGGATTTAGAGTGGTTGGGGAGACTGAGGTAGCTTCTGTCAGGTGTTTTGTTTTTTGTTTTTGCTTCTGTCCATTTTCAAAAGAGATGACTGACCTTGGAGATGGACTGGATTCCATGAATGGGCCAAACAAAATCCATCCCAGAAAAGGGACAGGCTTTTTGAATCTCAGATTCCCATAAGTATGTAAGTTAATACCAGTCAACAAAGGCAGTGAACTCTGCAGTAAGATCTCACATCTAACTCTCTTCAGCTCATTCTCTTTCACAAGCATTCATTAGCATTGTTCTAGAATTACAGAAGGGACGCGGGTGACGCTGTGGGTTAAACCACAGAGCCTAGGACTTGCTGATCAGAAGGTCGGCGGTTCGAATCCCCGCGACGGGGTGAGCTCCCGTTGCTTGGTCCCTGCTCCTGCCCACCTAGCAGTTCGAAAGCACCTCAAAGTGCAAGTAGATAAATAGGTACTGCTCTGGCGGGAAGGTAAACGGCGTTTCCATGCGCTGCTCTGGTTCGCCAGAAGCAGCTTAGTCATGCTGGCCACATGACCCGGAAGCTGCATGACGGCTCCCTCGGCCAATAAAGCGAGATGAGTGCCACAACCCCAGAGTCAGCCACGACTGGACCTAATGGTCAGGGGTCCCTTTACCTAGAATTACAGACTCCATCTCTTCCTGAGGCTCTAATTAGCTTCTTTCCTTGTTTGTAGGTAATGATGAATTAGAAATGAAGAACGAAGGAGAAATCCACACAGAGGAGAAGCCTTATCAATATTTGGAGTGTGAAGAAAGCTCTAGTCAGAGCTCCGATTTCACTTCTCATCAAATAAATCCCATTGGGAAGAAACCCTATCAGTGCTTGGAATGCGGAAAGAGCTTCACTCGGAACGAAAGTCTCACTTGCCATCAGAGAAGTCACACAGGAGAGAAACCGTATCAGTGCTTGGAATGCGGAAAGAGCTTCACTCGGAACGAAAGTCTCACTTGCCATCAGAGAAGTCATACAGGTGAGAAACCCTATCAATGTTTGGAATGTGGGAAGAGCTTCACTCGGAAGGAAAGTCTCACTTCTCATAAGAGAATCCACAGTGGGGAAAAACCTTACCAGTGCTTGGAATGTGGAAAGAGCTTCCACGCAGGCACAAACTTCCGTCAACATCAGAGAATCCACTGTGGGGAGAAACCATTTCAATGCCGAGAGTGTGGAAAGAGCTTCATTAGAAAAAAAGATCTCACTTCCCATCAAAGAATTCATACAGGTGAGAAGCCCTATCAGTGCCTGGACTGTGGAAAGAGCTTCAGTCAGAGCGCCCATCTCTTGGTCCATCGGAGAATTCATTCAGGGAGGAAACCCTATCAGTGCTTGGAATGCGGAAAGACCTTCAGTCAGAGCGCCCATCTCACTGCCCATCAAATAACTCACCACAAGGTGAAGCCATAGTAACGGTTGTCTTTAGGAAACTTTAATTATCATGCAAGTGAGGCTTGCAACGGCGTTCTTGGTCTTCGGCCACCCAGCAAAGAAGTTGACCGTGCCTCTCAAGACCGTTGAATGCACACTTGACATCCGATTGAGAAGCAATTCATGTACTTCCACCTCGAAAGCCACCAAGTTGCAAATTTGTGGTGCTCCTGACCACCACTGTCATCTTCAGCATAACCAAGATGATAGTGGTGTTAGCTTCAAGCTCTTCCTGGAGTCTGCTGAACACACACAGGACACTTCTTAGAAAAGCCACAAGTTTCATACTTTCCTCTGTGAGAAGGTTTAGTCAAGAATTCCGTTGCTGCCGTTCTCTGTCTAATAATTGACAGAGGACGGCAGCAATGGAACAACACGGCTTACTGCAGGGGTAGCGTCGGACACCCTTTCCCAGGCCATGTGGACAGAGCACCAGATCTTGACCAGAGGGACATTTTTGTCAGGGGCTCACATATATTCCTCAAGTAGGTGACCCTGTTCTCCTTCTGTGCCAGTGTTAACAGAGAGTCTGTCACAATGGATAAGGTGTTTATGAAACTGTGCTGGACGCTTGCATGGTCTCTAGCCCAAAGCCTTGCTTCTCTCTTCACATAAGGCCTTGCTCACCACATACTGTCGGTTCTAACACGCCCAAGAAGTCTTCTCCAGATTTTGAAACGTGCAACTTTTGTCTGTATAACTTTAGCCTATGTGTATCCTGCTTACCAAACTGTCACCTGTGGTCCATCTGTCCCCAGCTATTACTGAATGTGAAGGTCTCTATTGTAACATTAGAACATGTTACAATATGCTTTGAAGGTTCTTTTATTATTATTATTATTAAAGATTTTCTTGATTTACAAAAGTGTTTGCAATTTCTCTCTCTTGTATTTCTCCCCCCCCCATGTAACATTTTTACAAATCAGTTTCATTTGTTGAGACATTAGGAAGAATAGGGGGAAAGAGGTGGAGAGGGGAAAGGTGAGTGGGGGTGGGGTCGGGTGGCGGGGTTTCTATTTTACTTACTATATGTTGGGTTTGGTCACAGCTTTGCTTGTGCAGGTTCTCTGCTGTTCACTTGTGTTCCTTTGGTGGTGAGAGAGGTTGGGGTTGGCCTAGGGTGTGGTTGTTCATTTGTGGTTGGCTGTGGTGGTCTTTGTTTTCATGTGTGAGTGAGGTGGGTGGGTGTTTTGGATCAGGTTAGCCATATTGATTTGTATGCTGTTGGTGGATATTTGTCATTGTCTTGTTGGGCTGTGTGTGTGTGATAAAGGGGAGCCATACTGGGGTGAATGTGTCTTCTTCTATTTGTCCCCGTGTCAGTTTCAGTTTATTGGTTATTTTTTCTAGCAGGGATGTTTCCCATACTATTTGGTACCATTGCTCCATGCTTACTCCTGACAGGTCTCTCCAGTGTCTGGTTATGATGTTTCTGGCTGCTGAAAGTAGGTGGGTTATGAGTTCTTTGTGGTGTAAATGGGCATTGTTGTCTTGGAAGATGTTTAGTAGGGCCAGTTCTGGGGTGATTTCTAATACTTGCTTGGTTATTTTACTTATTTCTCACATGGCTTTTGTCCAGAATAGTTGGATTTTGGGGCACTCCCACCACTCTCTGTCTCTTGACATCAAGCAGGAACCTTGGCTGTTCTCTTTTTGGTGCCTCCTTAAGCTGTATTTGTTCAAGCAAAACTCATTTTTTGTAATTTCTTTTTCTTTTTGATAATTTTATACATTTTTACATAACCATTCCAAACATTGAAATACAAGGTTCTTTTGAACCTTCGGACCCACAGGTTCCATGTTTAAGGTTAAATTTGCTGCATCTTTTACCATTCTCCATCTGTTATATAACGATAAGTATCTGTGATGGGATGATGAGCTGCTTGTGCGTAAAATCGTATCCCCTCAGAGTTTGTTCAAGTCCACAAACCTCTGTCTGTGACGGAGCCCCTCAGACATGGCTACTCTAGTCACTAGCAGATTCCGACAGTGGTTGCGTTCGTAATCACTTCCAACATAAAAGCTCCTTAACGGAAACACGTCTTCTGGAATCTCTGCGTGACAGTTTCCGGCGAGGAGTGGGTGTTCTTACAGGAGGTCCTGAAACCTCCCCACTGTTTTCGCTGGAAGTGTCTCTGAGCCAT